ACCATGACACGTTCGCGTTCGCCAAGAAAGAGGTTGAATGGCGAAAAGCACCAGAGTATCGCCGTTCGCGGTGGAATAAATTGAAGAACCCTCAGTGGTGCAAGAGTGATGCTCCAGACATGAGCTTCGTGTAACTTGACAAAATACAACTGAATGAAAGGCTTTCCAAGTTGTTATTTAATGATAAAGAGAGCGATTGCGAGGACAGGTGGTGGGGGAAGACAAGAGCGAAACTTGTGGGCGATGTCCGAATTGGTGATAAATTTGACCGGGCCGATATCGGAGCTTGAAATTTCTCCGTTCCTTCCCACAGCGACGACTTGCTCCTGACCTTCACTCATCGACGTTCCCCAGAATCACGCTATCGATGTTTCAGATATTCGGGCCTCGCGTCTCTGGCTCTAGGGCTCCTATAGCTTCTCTGACCCCCTTCAACTCCCGTGTTACAAAACTCTCTAGTCTCCGATTGTCTCCTGCGGACGGACACTCGCAATTCCTCTTCTTCGCGGAAGTTCCTTTGTGAATCCATTGGAAAGGTGCCTGAAGCTTGGGGCTGCGGTGGTGTGCCGGGAATGTTCGAGTTGGGCAACGGAGAATGGTGCGTTGATTTTCCTTTTGGTGCTATGCTTTACTGACGTTGGCGTTTGTGTTAGATACTGGATTTACCTCGTTACGCACCTTTAGTGGTGAAGTACGCATTGTTCTGATATCCCATATCTCTTTGTCGCTCCTTTCTGTCCTTCTTTGGTGCCCACCCTGGCCATTTCCTAGCCGTTGGAGGATACGAGGCTGCTAGTCGTACTCGCCGCCCCTCCACGAACTCTTCTGTTTTGGTCTCCTTTTTTCGGAGCTCCCGTGGGCGAGGGATTTACGTGTCCCTCCCGTATTCCTTATTTTCAGCGAAGATGATCGCACGACCCTTCGTTGTTGCTGTTTAGATTTATCCGTCTTTCTGCTCTCCTCCCGGTCTTCGTGCGCAGAGGTGGTCTTTCCTCTTCTTTCTCTCTTTTACATGTCGGAATCCTCTTCTACCTTCCTTTATTGTCGAGTTTGGCCGCGTTTGCGGGCGCGTCTACCACCCACGATTGCGCCTCTTTCTCCACAAATGCGGCCATGTGCACGGCAAAGGCTTGTTAAGGCCAGGGTATCCATCCGTTCGTTGGTTCTATCTGCGTGTTGGACCCGTGATGTTCATCCGTCGCTCGTGAAGGTCTTTCGACACAGCCGCTCGCTTTCGTTGGTTAAGCACTACTTTCCTTCAACATAGGTTCATTGTCGTTGGGCAGGGTGATTTTGCCTGCACGACGTATATTTTGTCGAGGTGGTTAGATATCCTTTTCGCTGCCCTTTTTCTGATCTTCCTTGATTTCCTTACCAACTTCCTCATCATATTCTGCTGCCCATTTTTTCTCTTACGTTCATATTTCGCTCCCATTCTTCCAAGTGCCGTCGCGCCGACCGTCTTTTTTTGCTGTGGACGGGAATGGACAGGAAATCCTCGTCCTGGGTCGGAGCTCTCCATCGAGCTATCTTTATATATCTTCTCGACTCACAGTCTTCGCCCGTTCTTCAGCGAGCGTTGCCAGAACTACCTATTTTTTCACCAGTTCACCTATTTTGGTCTGCTGGAGTGGACCAGAGCGTTGGTTCAGCGAGATCGTCAACCCGTCTGCTGAAAGGTGCATAGGAGTAGGGACCACTATGAATTGAGCGTGTGGGTAGTGGTGGGTTCTCAAGATCTCAAGACTCGTTGAATCACGGTTTCATTTCCTCATGTGGGCTCGGTGATTAGTTCTGCGTCCAGCCTACGTGATGTGCTTAGGGCAGAATCTGAATAACGATAATTCCAAGTACGTTTCCTCGTCCGAAGTCTACATTCACGCTTATCGTTATCTCCCAACTACAAAGTAAGGCGCCCGGGAAGTCGATCAGCGCCGCTGAAGTTTGGTTACAAACTAGAGTACATAGTGAACGACGACTTCTGGGCTAATATTCTTGCTCGGGATCAATCCACCCAACGGCGACGTTCGGCCTTCTCGGTTGTGTCAACACTGCCCCGCGTTTTTGCTGTGAAGTCATGCCTTCAACTTTAGGAAGTTGGATAGCTTCCGTCACGCAGATTCGTGCGTCTGAAGCATCAGACTTTGGGGCAGCATCTCTTTCATCATCGTCGTCTGACGTTGGTCTGATGGCGTGCACTCACAGGTTGATTGGAGCATGGCTCATGAATAATTCATTCTTGAATGAGGACAGTACAACGAGGGAAGACTCTGTACGATGTCTGTGGGATGCTATGGATCCAGTCTACTCGTGTAGCTGGGCGGTCGACTGCGAGCTGACTGTGCGCGCACCAGAGGACTTCTTGGAGTGGAATGAGCCCAAGTGGGTGGTATCGGTGTAGGATTCGGACGAGATAAAGACGGCGGAAGTTTAGGAGGAGTTGGACGAGTAGTGGCGGGTGGAAGAGGTGGAGCTCGAGAACTTGCCAGGCTCGTATTGGGCGGAGGAGACATGATAGATGGATCAGGCGGAGAGGAGGGGTCGCTAAGAGTGTCTATGCGACGTTGCATCTCCTGGATGCGTTCGCGATTCGCGACTTGCTTGCTGAGCGATTGCGGATCCGTCTGGAGTCTGTGGATCTCGAGCATCAGTGTTTGCACCTCCCGCATGCGCTGCACCAGCTCTGTGGGTTGGGATTCCGCGAGTAGCTCTGGTGGTATGTCCGATAGGGTGGATGCTCGACGCTCGATTGTTGTAATGGCACCTGGCGCTTGATCAAAACCTCTCAAAAGTCCGTCCTCGACACCGGGTGTTTCGTTGGGGACAACATTGGTCTCTGCCAATCTCCTTAGCTTTCTGCGCGCTGTAAAATGGGGATTGGGTCGGTGTTCAAGTCATAGAGTGGGATAGAGACGTACATCTGTACTCCAGGACTAGAACGAACACACCCCAAGATAAGAGAATCCCCCCTATAGAGCCCAAAGAAATGGCGAGTGCCTGCACTGCGCCTACGGGTGCCATTGAAGAAGCTAGGGAAGAAATCTGGAGCAACCCGAACTTGGAAGCAATGGGATAGATATCACCATGGCCTATGCACGTTCGTATCCCAATACTTACGCCGAGTAGATGCACTTATAGAACGCCAATTGGCACGCTCTCTATTCAACTGATAGCGACACTTATCGGTTTGAAGCTGTGGGATCTCGTTACCAAGGCAGATGATCAAGCCAAGCTTCCTTCGAAGGATGCCCGGAACAGCGCAGGCTCGGCAAATGTGGCGTAAAGCGCACTTACCATTTACAGTAACATGCCCCAGGAATCGCCCAGTCCATCGGGTACCTTCCATGTCTTTCTATCAAAAAGGTGTTGCAGTAGGATAAAATAAAGACATTTATGTAATGAATTTAATTGTGTCATTCCTCTTGCCTGCATCGTATCTGCCCTCCATCGCCTCCCGTGTTGATCGGTCCGCGAAGAGAAGTAATTCAGTGAAACGCGGCGCATGAATAGGCTATATAAAAGCCTTTCGATAAGAGTAGTGCGTCATCAGAGGGCGCATGATGCGCAGTTCGTTTATCAGAACCACTGTGAGCGGTGGGGGTTGGGCCAGGCAGTAGACACAGAATCTCGAGGATCTCGCGGTGAGCCCGGACCTGGTGAGCTCGTCAATCGAGGGGCGCTAGTCGGAAGGGTAAATATAGAATACCAGCTTTTCGCATCACCGATGCTGTACACGCCCTTCTTCGGCGGTGGTGAAAAGGTCCCGCGCTGGTCTCCGACCTGTTTCAACGGGACCGTGGCCTTTCAGGATCCCATTTTCGAGCTCGAAGGTATCGCGCATGCGAGGCATGCTGAACATTTTCCGCCTTTTTCTGCGTACTTCTCATGGAAATGAGATATTATCGACGGATGGACAAAGGGAAAGACGTACGTCGGCAATCGAGGACCAGCTTTAGCAGCCCGTATAAGAGGAAGATCGCTATTAGAGCACCGAGGCCAATGCCAATGACTTGCACGACGGTTGCAGGGATCATGGTGGGTGAATGAGTTGTACACGAGCGGGGCAGGGGTATAGGGTACTTAAATGTGGATGAGATGACACTCACATCACCATCGGCGTCGTGATATCCCCCTCCCTATCCATAACCTCGGGGCGGGTGTCAAGACTCATCATTTCCTGTTGAACCTGCGTTGAGAGCTATCCACTTACGCCCTAGATTACGATGTTAGTGATGGATGTCTGTCGTTCGGTACGACATGGCTTCAAAGCATAGGCGACTGGGACCTTGTGTTCTGTACGCAACAAGAGGGAGACCGTCATATCACTCAGGATGGCATCTAATCAATCTCGTCGAACACACGGGAATTCAAGTGGAAGCGGGAAAGGGTACAGCATCACCACGGTGTGTTACATCAGCCTGCGAGGACGGCGTTGACAGATCCAGTTCCGTCGAAAGCACCATCAATGACAATATGGCTGTGCCACTGTCCGGCTAAATCGCTTCGAAGAGGGACGAGACAAATGTCGCGAATTAATAGATCATAGATCACCAGACTCTCCAGGTGTGTATTGAAGGAGGATCTGGTGTGCTGGTAAGTTCAACGAAAGCCTGAGGAGAATAATTGCGGTCTATTCTTTGGAGGAGCCAGGGGAGGAGATCGAGACGAAAGGGGTAGGTCCGTTGGGTCGACCCGTATTCACGCCCATTCCGACGTAGAGTGACGGTGGTATGATCCGACTGTAGTGTAACCTGTCAGAAATATGCCGATGTGGTCAATCGGGTCTGGATTTGAGCGAGCGGAGATTGCATGATTGTTACGATGGCGGGCGCTTGATGGGCGCTCAATGCCATATGAGTGCGTGAGATTAGATAAGATGAACTTCGCCTGCGGGAGTAATAGCCCCGTTGCGCTCTCAACCTCAAGGGCGACCTACACGAGATGGCTGGTAATGGCGTTGTCGTGATCGCACTGCCCATGGATACGGCTGGAAAGACACACCAGAGCAAGAGTTAGATATACAATTTGATGTCATTACATGCAGAATTGGGAATTCAAGGTAGTCCGTTCTGTGTAGATGTTCGTACAAGTTCAAACATCTTAAATTCAGGCGTGCTAAGAATTTAGGCCGGTTCCGAGAGCCCCGGCCAGTTTCGAGCATTCAGGTTTATGCTTCTTCCAATCGCTGAGGAGGGAGGTCATTACGGAACTCGCAGAGTTAGGGCGAGAAAATGGACGACGTGCCTTTTTTGACATCCCTCATCGCAGTAAAAGACTGACTTGCACACTATACAGGTCCTCTTCTTCGCACTACGCGTCCCGGAATTCCTGAACGGACAGCCCAGGTTGCAACACTTCTTATCGAGTCGGTAGCGTTCGCGAATCGACGCGTCGCTGATGCCGAGTAACCTGCAGAGATTGGTCCAAAGTTTGAGGTATTTGCCCTCCGCCCCGACTTCCTCTTGAAGCGAGATGAGTGTAGGGATGGCGATACGTTCGATGGAGGTGCGAGCGGCGTCAAGGTACTCGGGGGTGACGTAGAACTTGCAGGTTTCACGTTTCTTGCATACGAGCGCATGCTCGAGGTTGTCGAAGAACTTATAAAACGAGCCGGCTTGGTCCAGAACACCAGCTTTCGGCGATCTATTCGCCATCTTGAACGCTTCCGCCGCAATTTCGATCAGAAAAGTGTTCTTGAGCAGGTCGACGATTGTGTCCATGGTATTGGGTGCCTGCAAGATGATATTCCTAGCATAACATATGAACTTGTATAAGCGAGAGAGCCGGAGCTTCTTACTGGATAAATATCTCGGTCTCGGCGAGAACCTCGGTCTCATCACTGTAAAGGTCGTTCTTCGGCATGCGTCGGACGGCGGCGGTAACTTGCTTCGGAACGCTTGCTTCTTTCAGTTTTGGACCAAATGGGAGCCAGATTTGGGTGAGATTGCGCAGGACACCAATCTCTCGGTCCAGAGCCGCTCCGAGCAGGTTCTTGTTCTTGAGTGTGAAGTTGATTCGGGAGACGAAATTCGGGATCTTGACAGCATTGAATAGCTTCTCTAGATAGTCAGGTGGAGGGGTGGTTTCGAAGCAATCCTTCCTGTAGGTGAGCTCGAGGATCGCGCTTGTCGCTGATTTGCGTAACCGGAAATCTGGTGTTGTTTCCAGCCAGCAGTGGGCAAGAAGTCGCAGAGTTTTATCTTCATACATCTGTCTAGAGGAATGGATCAGAAGACTAAGCATACTGACATTGGAGAAGTTTACCGTTTCGTCTCCGGATCCCGCATGAACATCAGCAACATCTTCGAAACCATGCATCGTCTCGAATCACCGAATTCACCGGCTGGAGTGAGGTAGTGGAAGTCTCTGAGCAACACGTCGACAATCCTCGAGCGAAATGGATAGATCGCATGACGAATGGCTGTATCCTGTGCTTCTGTGTTGTGTTGAAGGATCGAAGCAAGAACATTGATGACCCCCATGACGGGGTACTCCCAGTGAGGCCTATCACCCGTAGACCTCCCCGTGAGCAGGTGCTCTACGAATATCTTTCCAGCACCCGCCCTACGATACCTAGGGTCAGACAAGGCCGCCATCGCAACCTTCATGACGAACATCGAGTCGGGAGGATCCTTGGCTGCAGCTAAGACGGCTTGTCGAGGCTGCAGCCTGGCCAATCTGCGGTCCGCCATTACTGTGGGGCATGTTGCAAATGTGCATGGACAGTCGTCAACGTTGGCCAATTTCACCCATTCCATATCTGATCTCCATATCAATATCACCGTTGATCGACTGTCATCAACAGATAAGATATCGGAGTCTGCCTACGGGAGACTATATCTGATCCGAGAGCTGGACAAGGTGAAGTCGAGATTGAACGATAGGTGGGAGACCGAGGTCGAGATGGCGGAAAGAGTCGTTGTAAACCGTGCGCGTGAGTACGGACTATCCACGGCTGAATGGACGGCTTTGAGGTGGTCGAAGTGGTCGAAGAAGAATAAGAAGCGTGTTGGTCAATGCAGTTCTCCCTGTAACGAACTACCAGAAAAGGTCATAGGCCCCTATCTCAGGCCGTCCTGACCACCTAAAGGTGAACTGAGCATGCTGCCCGCTGGCTCTAATTTGATTTGAAGTTTTTATTCTTTCCTACGTTGGGTCACACATACCGCTGCATTTCGAAAGGTTGAAGCATTGTTTCTCTGAGATCTTGGCTGACGGAATCCGCATCTTCCGCATAATGATCATGGGGATTGACGCTCAAAGGGGTGATCTTGGTTCCCCTACTCTGCCAAGTGGGAACAAGCAGAGTGATAACGCTCATCTTCACTGGAAACACGACGACAAATGTCGCTGCCACCCATGTGCAGATTTTTTTGATAAACTTTCCCGCTTGTGGTAGGTAACAACGTATCTATTGTAGAGGGTATACAATTACTCAAACTTTGGCAAGGAGGGGTTGGTGAGGGAAAGATGCGCTAGAACGAGATCAGACCTAGGTGCAATTCAATGTCGCGACATACAGGATTCAAAGTAGTTGCATTATGTCCGTTTCCCCGAACGAGCCAAAAGAAAAGTCACCAAAGCACTCTGAGGGTCACACGCACTCAAAGCTAACCCTGTTTTCGAGGGCCTGAGCGAGTGTCGCGCATTCGGGTTTATGCTTGTCCCAATCACTGAGGGGATACTTACTAAGTTTGAGGAATTAGAATGAAAACAGATGGACGACGTGCCTTTTTTGACATCCCTCATCGCAGTAAAAGACTGACTTGCACACTATACAGGCCCTCTTCTTCGCACTACGCGTCCCGGAATTCCTGAACGGACAGCCAAGGTTGCAACACTTCTTATCGAGGCGGTAACGTTCGCGAATCGACGCGTCGCTTATACCGAGTAACTGGCAGATGTTAGTCCAAAGTTTGAGATACTTGCCCTCTGCCCCGACTTCCTCTTGAAGCGAGATGAGTGTTGGGATGGCGATACGTTCGATGGAGCTACGAGCTGTGACGTAGAACCTGCAGGTCTCGTGCTTCATGCAGATGAGAGCGTATTCGAGGATGTCGAAGAACTTGTAGAATGATCCGGCTCAATTGAGGGTCGCAGACGGTGGAGACCTGTTCGCCATCTTAAACGCCCTCCGCCACAATTTCAATGAGGAAAGTGTTGTTCAGTAGATCAACAAACACGTCCATGCTGTTTGGCGAGTAAATCATGATGTTCCTGACATCAGCAGTTAGATGGGTAACAGAAGAAGGCGAGACATTTACTGAATGAACAACTCGACGCGAGGCAGAGTTTTGTGCTTGTCCATTTGGGGGTCGTTCTTTAGAATACGCCGGACAGCTGCAACGACTTGTTTGGATACGCTTCCTTTGAGTAGCTTCGGTGAGAATGGGAGCCAGGATTCGGTAAGATTGCGCAGGATGCTGATCTCCTTATGTAGGGTCTCCGCAGGAAGATTCTTGTGTTTGAGAGAGAAATTGATCCGAGAGACAAAATTCGGGACCTGGACCGCCTTGAAAAGCCTGTCTAGGTAGTCTGGGGGTGGTGAATTGCCGCAAGAATCCTTTCGAACAAGGAGTTCGAGTACCGTGCCCGCAGCTGTCTTCCTCATCGTGCACGCAGGGGAGGTTTCTAACCAGCAATGAACAAGGAGTCGGAGCGTTTTCTCTTTGCACATGTGTCTAGTAAAGTGGATGAAAAATCTCTCACTCTATTATTAAGCTGAAGAGACATACCGCTTTGTCTCTGGGTCATCCATGAACAGCAGGAGCATTTTAGCCACCAGGAATCTTCTGGAATCACCGACATCGTCCTTCTGAGTGAGATAGTCGAAATCTGCGAGCAAAGTGTCTACTATTCTGGAGTGAAACGGGTAGATAGACTGGCAAATGGCCACATCTTGCCTTTCGGCGTCGCTAGGAAGAATTGGGGCGAGGACGTTGATGATGCCCATGACCAGGTACTCCCAATGTGGCCGCACTCCCGTAGACCTTCCGAGTCCTGAAACCAGATGGTCGACAAAGACCTTTCCAGCACCTGCCCGACGATATCTCGGGTCGCAAAGGGTAGCTGCTGCGACCAAACCAAAGAAGATCGAGTCAGGAGTATCTCTCGACGCGGCCACGACAGCTTGTCGAGGTTGCATGTTAGCCAGCCTCGTCTTTGCTATGAATGCAGGGCATGTGGGGAGAGTGCACGGGCAGTCATACACGTTCTCCAATTTCACATATTCAGACTGCATGGCCGAGTCTTGGTTGAATCGATCGCCGTCTGCAGTCAAATTGCCCAGGCTGAAGGCCTTTAAATCAAACTGGTCCGGGTGGAAGGAACCACTGGAAGTAGTGGCCTAAGAAAATCGGGTGAAGAAGAGTCACGACTGGAATCGTAGTCGTGTTGTGGCAGAAGGACATCCAGCACGCATGATGCGTCTGGAACTTGATCTCGCTTTTGTCGTGACCGGACCGAGAAAGACATGCCGCAACGAACGGGACATATACCTGCCTATCAGAACGGTAGGTGTTGATAGCGATTGACGTCCAGAGTCTGGGTGTTGCTTCGACGATCTCCCGCCATCGACGACAGACCGAGCCTAAGAACACCGAAGCGACCATGGATTGTGACGGATCGTTGGGTGCTAAAGAAAAGGGGGATCTAGTAATCGGTCGAGGCTTTTGAAATGATTGGTAAAAGGCGAAAATGCAGGAGAGGATTTCTAGCGGGAGGTTGTTCACCAACTGATCGTGATGACGATTCCGCTTCGTTTTCAGGTCGCACCTTCGGCGGACGAGTTGCTGAAGAGAATCCAAGGCATGTTGAATCTTCTTATCTAAGTTGTATATCTCTCTACACGCCGTGCACGCCTCGCCATTGAGGCCACCACAGCAAGCACCCGAGAGGTCGATTGTTTCGAGAGCGGCCATGCCGCAGAACGCACAAGGTTTTCATATATTGACCTGAAATTGGGGAATGACGTGTTGTTTTACTGTGGTACAATCAAACGGAACTCACCTTCTGCATGTCCAAACAATACGCACGAAAGGTGTCTGCTAAGTGTTGAGAAACGTAAAAATCGAGGTTGAACTGACCCCTTCGTGTTGAATTTCATATGATAATACTTTCCCAGGCTTTCTAGTCACTTCCTCTCTCAATCCACAAGTTGACAACCATCATCGCCATAGGTCCGTCTCTCGTTAGTTTCGTATTCTTGACTCTCACCTCCTTATTTTCAGAAAACGTGGCATAACATTTACACCTCAGTTTCGACATGCGCCTGCGGACACCATTCCAACCGATTTTCAGCTCGCCTTTCTCGAAGCTCAACTTAAGCAGCGAGTCTTTCCCCCCTCCACGACAGTTGGGACGTAGACTAGAGTTCTGGATCGAGGACAAGCCATACCGGAGGTAACTTCCTGCGTTTATGGTGTTGTTTATCTGCTTGCTAATATGTCGCTGTAGTTGATGAACGCCCGGTGTGCTTCGATGACCACGACCCGCACCTTTCCATCTACCTTCGACATCTCAAAGTCAAAATTTCGGCCCTGCGGAGAGAAGTATCCACACTCTGGATCAAGATTTCGTGTCCAAACTTCAAGAAGCGTCAGGCAGGACTAAAACGAGCTCGTGGCACTTTCGCATCGGTACGTTCATTCGTTTCCCTGTACTCGTTCTTCTTCTGACACGTGTTCTCCCTTCATCTAGACTTGCGTCAACGAGCCGTCTGCATGTACCAGCGCCAACCGTCGACCAATCGCCCGCGAAGAGCCCGAGTGGAGGTTTAAGCGATGTGGAGGACGAGGTATACATGCAACGTTCAGTTCGATTTCTTGTGGTTTCTAAACACACCCTCCAGCTCTATCACCCTTTCGACGTCATACGCATGCGAGGACTGAGCCATGGAACTCAAACCGGATCTTCGATCGTCCGAATAACGCCCTGCAACCTCGTGCGACCCCATCTTCGCACCACAAGCCTTCGTTCAAGATCACCTCACGCAAGATCTAATAGTGTTGACTTGCCATCGGCGTGGAGGGACAGAACGAGCACGTAATGAGGAACAGGGTTCCTGCAGGACGCTCGGCTATTGCTTGAAATACGTCCTTTCATTTCTTTTCGTCTTTTCGTTGTCTTAGAGTTCCTCGAGGCTCAACACGCTTGTAGCACCAAATTTGAACTTCCCGCATTCACCTCAGACTCATCGTCGACGCCGATATCTCCACCTCGTTCAATGACGACCACACGGCCAACGCCGACGTTTAACTTCGTCTCGTCCAACACCCTTGAAACACGTCCTTGCTGTTCTTCGCCCACGGGGCCCACGTTTGAGGTCGGCTACGAACTCGACAGCCAAGTACAGGCTCGATACTCCGCCGGACGATGCGAGACGGGATCTTTGGTCGTGTTATAAGCACGGACTCGAAGTAGGATCGATCAATCGAGGTACGTTCAACCCCCAACCTCTGTCTTACCACGAGCTCTAACACTTTTTGCAGCCCTCTGCTTGCCGTTGCATTCGCACCAACCCGTCTAAGCTACACTGGACAATCCAACCTCATATTTGGTTGTCCAAGAAATGCCTGTACGAGACTCTTTCACCTCGCCTCCGCCCAGACCGTCTCCAACCATGACCACATCGTTCGACCACGACCACGACCACGGACGGCATTCAATTATTGACGTACCACGTGCGTAGGCTGTTATTGCACACGCCGGACCCACCCTTCTACATTCAAGACGAACAGAGGTATGCTGGTCCGCTGCTCCCTACCTTGTCCTGACGTTCATCTACAGCGCGGCTCATCCTCTGCTCGACATTGAAGTCAGGCCAAGTTTTTTTACATCATACCTTCGCTTTTGAGCGATGCAATTTGACATTTGGTTGTATGAGAAACGCCTCGACGCGGCTGTGCCAGCTTTTCTCTACCCTTAAAAGCCATTGACACCTCTTTCAAGGGCGACCGTGCTCGGACAACCCCCAAGTATCTCCCGTCCAGGCCCTACCGCTCTCGTAGCCCATTACCGCCCATGCAACCGATGTCGTTGCATGATCAAGATGACAAGCAGATGAGTCGAGAACTTTGATCTTGGCGCTCTGCTCGCCTCGCTGAACGAAGAACTATCGTCGATCTCTATTCTCCGTTATGGTATGTCCACTTCGTTTGCGTTTCCTGACTTCCATGGTGTTAATATGACATCTCAGGTGTCTGCGCTGCGTTCCTCGATGCCAGGTCATAATGCCCGGGCCGGACACCCATTGTCGACCATGTCTCAAGATTTCAATGAGCTTCTTCCTGCTCGACAGCGCCCTCATTCAGCACCTGTACGGCACCCATTCGACTCCGGCACAACCATCGACACGGCCCCTTGTTTCCCACGGGGTTTATCGAGGAAGAAGGGAGTGAAGGACGGCGAGGCTTACGGACCAGTTATTACCTCTCGGCCTTCGGGCGGGGAGAAACTATGTCCGCAAATAGAGCAATCGACCTTCCTGGACGAACTTAGTTGCGGCGCTTTTGCGCTGCTGACGCAGACCTGCAAGAGGGACAACGGGCTTGGGTCGAAGCTACGGCTGCAGCAACTCAGGTGGGGGAAGGTCGAGAGCAGAGGGACAAATCTTGAGGCTTCGTGTCCGCTCCACGGGGTGCACGGGGACGTGGTCAGCTTGCCAAGGAAGGTTACGATTCGGGCTTGTTTTGAGTCTGCATCGAATGTAAGAATTCGGGAAACGGACGTAAGTGCATGCCTTTCTTCTGTTTTCTTCATATCGTTGGCGATTCTAAAGGCTACTCTGCGTTTCATTTAGTTTCATGTTTCGCGGCATCATGCAATCGACGGACTATCGTTCTTCCTCTGGAACGGCACAAACAGGGCGGTCTGGTTCGTTCTTGGTCCCAGAAACGGCGCCAACGCGCTTGAATAGCCCCGAGAAAGTTGAAAGGGAGAAATGGATATCCTCCTTGTGCCTCGAAGATCCTGCGAATAGCCTAATATTCGATAAATATGGCCCAAAATAAATTCAAATCATATTCTTCTACCATGGCTCGTCTACGACACATCGGCACGACTCGCTCTTCCCGAACGGACTCAGCACAAGGTCAAATGGGAAGTTTCCGTGAGTTTCAATTTGAGGATATCGCACAACAGCGTTTCTCTCCTCTTCCTCCAATGCGAGAAATGGTCCACGATCACGGATGCAGGCAGCATGTAGATCCAACGCGAAGCAGCGGTCTCCCTCTACGTCACAGATACGTCTGTAGAAGTCGCTGAAATTGTGAACGAACTCTCTTCCGACCAGGTCTCCATCGAGCCGGAATCCGACGATCTTGAGCTTCTGGAGATGGGGAAAGAAGCCACGGCAGCTTTTGGATATGTGTTGGGCCGCTCGTGTGACTGCGGTGAACGCGAGTGCATCAGTGTGAAGAAATGCAACTGAGTGAAGTGCCTGTAAGAATTTATCTGCTGCGTCGCGAACGGGGTCGCGAAGGAGACGGAGCGTAAACCAATAATCTCCGGGAATCTTACTTCAGATGCGTTGTCCGTCCAAAGTCTCCCTCTCCGAACGCATCGAGAAGTCTCGGGGCAAGAAATGCCGTGCCATCCCAATTCCAGACGCTTCTAGCATTACAAACTTCAAAATCAAACCCTGTCCTACCAGGTCTTGTTGGTCTTCCACGATCTGAAAGCACCCCGGCTCCAGCATGACAGAAACCTTGGTGCCGAAAGCATTCCGACGGGTATATGTGCCAGACATATGTCAATGGTGGATGGCAGCATTTGATCGAAACAGGAAAGTGTGGCGCGTATGTTGAGCCATCATCTGGACGATGAAGTAATGTGGGTAAGGAGGACGTTGCATATTGAAGCAGTCGCTGTAAGCGAGAGAAAATGTAGCTGTGGGAGGTCGACAACTATAGGGAGGACCCAAGAGAGAGACGAGGAAATCGGTGTATAAGACGTGTAATATACGAGATAACTTAACCGAAGAGGCGTACTACCCTATATATACCCAACTACCTATTGTGGTGATCGGTCGATCGGAGGGATCGTGACAATAACAGGCAAGGCAGTAAGGCCGCCCAAGATGTTGCCGTCTTCGGTGTTCTTTATCTCCACCGAATCGAGCAAATATATGTAAGAAAGAGCGCTTAGAAAATCGAAAAATGAATCAATGTTTGTATCAGCCAGGCGTAGATAGACGGTGAGTTTCCGTAAATTACATAACCATTTAGCAGTGAGGCTGAACCAGAGTCCGTGGCATGAAAGGCTCCGAAGAGCAGGAGCAGCGTTGGAAAATAACTTCTTTCCAGGTACGAAATTAAATTTATGCTTGATGGGAAAATGCTCGAGACACTCGGTAGGGGTCGAAATCACTTTGTCGATGAAACCAAACTCCTGTGAGGAGTACTCTAATTCGAGATCCAATCGTCGGTGAGGATTTTTGAGAAGAGAGGCCCGCGTGCAGTCACGGAAAGGCTGATACAACCCAGCTCTCAAGGCGCCGACGACCTACTCGCCGCAGAACTTCTCTGGCCCATGCACGCAGAGCATGGGTGGTGATGCATTGATGCATGAAGGGCGAGTCCATTCAACCACGTACTACAGTTACAGAAATGGTGATGAAGACTAGCGACTACCAAAGTAGATTTTCGCCTTTACGAGTCTCTATGTCTATCTCTTTTCCCTCAGCATTCAGCTGTTTGAGTTGTTTCCTGATATCTTCACCTATTGGATGTGGACTCAGAGTCAGGTCGTCCTCCTCTTCCATGTCCCCGGGGTAGAAGGAGAGAACAAGATGCAATGTGGATAATGGTCGCAGAACAGCGTCCGCGTCCGTATTGTTCAGGGAGAAGATAGGAGGGAGGGTCGACCAGTTGAAGTATGACGTACCGCGGAGATGGAGAACGCGCAAATTGGGAAGAAACACCTCATTTGGGGGACTGTCCTCCCCTATGGACGCGGTAGCAGCCAAAAGCTCGAATATCACGTCCTGGATATTGACATGCGATGCGCTCAGCTCGACCAATGAGGGGATCATCGCCACTAGGTCGATCATCTGCAAGAGAGTTGCGTCGTCCAAGTCAATGTCGAGTTTCTGGAGTGCACATTGCGAGTGCGTGATGAGGGAAGTGATGGTTGGAAGGTCGGCATGGGTGTGGAGTGTCTGTAGGGCTGGAGTGAGGAGGCGTGAGAGCACCATGCGTTGACCGTGGCGTCCGAGCTCGAGGATGAGTGTTTGGAGAGCCGAGAGGGTGAAAATTTGAGGATCAAGGGAGTTGAAGTCGATGGTGCGCATGACGATGTTCCTTATTTCACAGTGTGTTAAGTGCGGCGAGTGGCGGCGAGTGGCGGAAAAGGAGGGGGCGTTCGCTGACGGTCAGAGAAAAGGCTTCGAAATGTGTCACGGAACCCCACTCGATTCCAATTGCTGCGTATGGCACGTAGTCGATGTTGACTCTTTGTGGGCTCGGCATGGCGTTTGCGAGGCGGAAGGTGGTAGAAGAATGTTGGTTGCCGAGGACGAGTAGGCAGAGTTGGCAAAGAATAGGAGTCTCGCCGCGTAAAAGGGTGAGGCGTTCGCTGAAGAGGCGCAACTGCAAAGTATCAACACGCGAAATATGGTGATTAATAGCCTCGAAGATTGGATCAGGATTGAAGATTGGGGCACGCTGGTAAGTAACTGGTTCCCTGAACAAATCAAGAATCCACGTCTTTTCCTCCATCCTGTCCTCGTAGACGTTAAGCCAGAGGGGAAGGTTGCCTGAGCGCCTCAACAACTCTGACAGCATCTGGGGATATAGAGTGAGAGATGGGCTAAACACCCTGACACGCACGACGGTCCAGAGATGTGGTGTCGAAAACGCGATTTGGCGCCAGCGCTGGCAGACCGATGCCAGGATAAAAGCAAACAAGTTCGACTTTCGCGATTGTATATCCTCAGCGGCGTATGTGTTATCTTCTCCGAGCGAGGGCGGTGGTGGCGTATGAAGGCATTGAACGAAGATGCGAGACACAACTTCAATCGGGAGACATCGAAGGAGCTGGTCATGGTGCAAGTTCCGTCTGAGTTTGATTTGGCAGCGTTTGAGGTAGAGAGTTCGTAGAAGGTTCTGTGCATCAGCAATTTGGGCGTCGAGGGAAGACAACTCTTCGCAAGCAGAGCAGGCAATGTGAGAACTTGAACATTCTTCCCCGGAGATGTTGATCTCCTCGATGCAACCCTCGATTCCGCATACGGTACAGTACATGTTTTCTACATGTGAATGAGTATGAAAATTTATGTAAATTAAGTCGTGAAACTCACCAGTTTGAACCACCTTCCGCTGTACGAATCGCGATGGAGATGGTCGAAGGAAGACGAACGATATGAATAACGGACCAGAATTTCAATGAAAGTTCCCACGGCAGGTTCTCTTAATCCACAACTCTCACCGCCATAGGTATGGACTTAAGCTAGTTTAGCATTCTTGTCCCTCATCTCCTTATGTTTAGAAATAAAGTCTCGCATTTACAGCCCTCAGCACTCAGTTTCGACACGAGCCCGCGGCCAACATTTTTAGCCGAGCTAGAACTCAATTTTCTCGAAGCTCAAGTCGAGCAGCGAGCCCGGACGTAGATTCGAGTTCTGGGTCGAGGAACAGCCATACCGGGGGTAATGTATTGCATTCATGGTGTCAGTTTTTGCTTGTTAACATCTCTGTAGCTGATCGACGAGCGTCCTTCGACAGCCACAACCCCTGCTTCTTTATCTACCTTCGACATCTCACATCCAGCGTTTCTGCCTGTGGCGAGAGGTACCCACACTTCGGGCGGAAATTATGTTTCCCAGTTTCAAGGAGTACCTAGAGAGGGCTGATGAGAGCTCATACTCGTGGCTTGTCTGTATTGGTATGTTCGTTCGCTTGCTTCTATTCAATCTTCGTCTAACATATGTACATCCTTTCTTCATCTAGCCCTGCGCTAACGGCCCATCAGAATACGCCGACCGCAGCCTTCAACTCATCGCCTGCGAAGACCACGAGTGGATGTCCAGGTAATGCGGAGTCCGGGCAAGGTATGTATTTTACGTTTGGTTCGATCTCTTGTCGTTTTCTGATCCCATGCTCCAGCTCTACCCTCCTTTTGATGTCACTCGCATGCAATGTCCTCGCCATCGAACTCAAATCTCACAATCGAGCCTCCGTATACCGCTTCCGTGGCCCCACGCAATCGCATCTTCGTCTCACAAATCTTCGTGCAAGATCATCGTATGCAAATTCGAATGCTGTCGCTTGACACCCGCATGGAGGGGCAGACTGTGCATACGATGAGGAACGTGGTTCCACGCGGGATGCTGGGCCATCGTCCGAGGTACATTCTCTCGTTTCTATGCGTGTTTTTGTCGTCTTAGAGTTCCTCCAGGCCCATCAGACCTTGTCGCTCTTGTAACATCAAACTTGAACCCCCTCCATTCGCCTCTGACCCGTCGCCGATGCCGATATCTCCACCCCATTCAACGACGACCACACGGCCAACGCCGACGTTTAACACTTCGCCTGAAACACGGACTTTGCCCACGCCGCCCACGTTTAAGGATGAACTCGGCGACCAAATGCAGGATCGACCGCTCTGTTGGACGATGCGAGACGGAACCTTTGGTCGGGCTTTAGGCACGGACTCGGAGTGGGGCATATCGAGGGACCCTCAGCCTCCAACATCTGCCTTCTTTTGAGTTCTAACGCATTTCTACAGCTCTCTGCTCCCACTGACCCGTCTAAACTACAACGTCGCCCTTCCACGTTCTGAGCCCATATTCGGTCGTCCGAGAAACGCCTGCACGAGACTACGTCGCCTTACCTCCGCCCAGGCCGCCTTCAACCATGACGACATCGTTCGACCACGACTACGACCACGGACAGCCTTCAAGTATTATGAAAATATGACCTACCGCGTTCGTAGGCCGTTATTGCACACGCCGACCCCAGCCTTCCACATTCGAGACGAACAGAGGTATGTTAGCCTTCCGCTCTCTTTTCATCTACAGCGAAACTCATCCTCTGGCCGCCGTCGAAGTCACGCCAAGCCGTGCTCAACAAGCCTTCGCCTTCCTTCGATGTTTGGTTGTACGAAAACACCTCGACACTGCTTTTCCGGCTTGTCTCCGCCCATAACACTTTCTCCACTCACTAAACGGCGACCACCACCCGTATGACCCCAACCATCGCCTGACTAGGTCGTACCACCCTTAGAGGCCATTACCGCCCATGCAACCGGCGTCGTTGCAAGTTCAAGAAGTCGAGAATTTCGAACTCATCATCCCGGGCCGGACACCCATTGCCAACTCTTCCTACTCAACGGCTCCGTCTTTCAGCACTGGCGCGGCACCCATTCTACTCCAGCGCGACCGTCATCGACACGGCCCCTTGTTTCCCATGGAGATCATCGAGGAAGAAGAGAGTGAAGGACGGCGAGGACGCCACTTACAGACCAGTTATTACCTCTCGGCCTTCGGGCGGGGAGAAACTATGTCCGCAAATATGGCGATGGCAATCGACCTTTCTGGAAGAATTCACCCGCAGCGCTTTTGCGCTGCTGGCGCGGACCTGCAAGAGGGTCAACGGGCTTGGTTCGAAGCCATTGGTGACGCAATTCGGGCGGAGGAAGGTGGAGAGCATGGGGAAGAAAGGCAAGGCTTGGTATCCGCTGAGCGCTGTACGAGGATGATCGGCTTCCCGAGGAAGATTACGCTTGGGGCGAGTTTCGAGTCTGCATCGAATGTGAGAAATATTATTATGGAGACAGATGCAAGCGCATACTTTCTTCCCTGCTTTCTTCATATCGTTGGCGATGCTAAAGGATAGTAAATGTTACTCGGTGTTCACGTCTACAGCTCCACAGTCGACTCGGACGTCAGGAGATTGGGACAATCACAGGGGCAGTGTATCCCCTGTGGTGCGTTCGTTTCGTTTCTTTGCTGTGTATAAACTAAACCACTCGTAGGAGTTCCTCGTCGCCATTGTTTCTTATACCCCTCCAGCTTCGAAGCCTCAACACGCCTCCGGCGACTGTGGCGACTGCTTCTCGGCGTTGCATCATCTCTAGCCTTCGATTCGCAATTACTACAGAGTATATTGTGACTGTTCTCTTTCTGTCTTCATTTCGTTTCGCGTTGTTCAGCGCCGTGCAATCGTCGAACTGTCGTTCTTCCATGAACGGGGCAGTTTGGTTCGTTCTTGGTCTCAGAAACGGCCCCGACACGTTTGAAGAACACCGGGAAAGTTGAAAGGGAGGAACGGATACCCTCCTTGTGCCTCGGAGATTCTGCGAACGGTCTAATATTCGTTAAATAATATGGCTCAAAATAAATTTTGATTATATTCGTCTACCAAGACTCCTCTACAACACATCGCCACAAATGACTTCGGGCTATTAATAAAAGATTATAGAATCTAGAAGATCGAAAGTGTCCAATTGAATGCAAATTCTACCGAAGCGTATCTTCTTGACGGCTTGCAGTACCTGGTCACTTGCGGTTATCTACTACTGGAATCCTTGGATCCGCCTAACGATCCATCAAGTAGTCGAATAGTACGGAGAGCTTTTGTCGCCCTGTAATAGGCTATCATGTACAAGGTGTCCAATGTAGAAATTCCGGTCTAGACTGCCGCGCCCGCGGAAGTTAGCACGTCGCAGATCGAGGACAAAATCTGGAGCCTGTATATCCTGAAGAAAGTCGTGGTAGAACGCGATAAGTTCTCCAACAAAGTCATCCATGACTGTCCCCACCGCGACATCGACAATTGCTAGTTGAAATTCTGGAGGCTATTAAGCATGCTGTGCGGCCTTTCCGACCGCGAAATTGCCTGAGATATGGCGAAGAATCCGAAAGCGTCTGCCTGGACGGACGTTAAGGAGCGGAACGCACGCAAGAATTGTTGGGTGGCGCCATGGAAGTCCTCAACGCGTATCGCACCCCAGCCTATCTCTAAAATCAACTTTCTTGTGCTTTCGAAACCGCCATGTGCGAAAGACGCGAGCAATTTCATGGCTCCGTCGATGACTCCTGTGGCTTCTCTTCTCGGAAAGCTTAAGCTTAGCTTGAATGCCGGTTCATGTGAAAGGCGGCGACTCGGGTGGTCCATGAAGTGCAATTCTTCTGAACCCTTTCCCAGGCTGAATGAAACCCTCGGACCGAAAGGAGATTGCTGGATATAAGCCGACGTGTGGACCGCGAGTTCGTCCACGAAAGGGCATAAATTTCTTGTATAACTCGGAATCCTGGCGTGTATGATTGTTCTCCTACCCCGTGCTGGTGTGATGTGGCGCAGGAACAAGTTGCACAGTCGAATGTTGGCTTCGATTGAGAGGTCGCTTAACTGCGGGAGGTCGATACAAGGAAGGACGGGGTCGACACCCTGCAGGCGTAGATTTGAATGAAAATTACTAAGCTTTAACGACCTGAGGGAGCGCGTGTGGGGAAGAGCGGTCAGCAAGTCAGATAAGAGGCCGTGGCGCAGATCCGCTGCGCGTAGGTTGAGGGATAGGCTTCGTAATTGGTGTGTCCAAGATGCGTTCAAATCAAACCCGAGTCCGTACGAAAAAGTGCGGAGAGAGGGGACTGAACCGGAAAAGAAGTTCTTAGCGGATTCGAAGTCGAAACGGTGAATGAGGGAGAAGTGCTGGAGGCGCTTAGTCGGAGTGGATGCTGCTTCCTCGGTGAAGGCGGTGACAGTTGCATGTACAGATTGGGAATCGACTTCGTTTCTGAAGTCGATGTCTAGTCATAATATTTGCGGCCAGTAGCAAGTGAGAAGCCTCGACAGGAAGGCGACCCACAAATTGTCGTTGAAAGTCTGGATCTCGCCGAAGAAGGTACCCACAACGGTCAACGGACTAACTCCAGCCCTCCGCAGGATCTCTTCTGCCCATTCAACTCGACCGTAACTTGCGATATAATCGATATCGAGTAGACCTCCCCATAGGCCTTGATAATGCAGAATGATATTGCGCCAAAACATGCACACTTGCGAAGCACGCCGGATGGTTGTGAGTGGATGTCGGTCGAATGGGCTCAACTGGATTACAGGTTGGGTGTCTGGTTCATCGGACTCTCGTTCTTCGGCTTCGGCTACGTCTTGCTTGGCTAAGACGAGTTCGTCGTAACTGCCGTTTATCGAAAAGATGATTCTGAGGACCTCTTCTGGGAGCATGGATATCGGTGACTCTGTTAAGGCCGCCATTACGGGTGGAACGGCCTGCGGAATGGGAGTCCGGTCGTGGTTCCGCGGGTCGTGGGCGCTTAATACCAAATCGGTGAATATACCCGGGATTTCGCGCACGGGATTTGCAGGATGATGATGGGGGAGAGGGAGAATCTTATATATAGCTTCTGCGAAGGACGTAGATGATGGCCAATAGAGTTGGCGGTGCAAGAGTGTACTAAAGAACAAAGGGGCGAGTGGCGAGCATGTAAGCATGTGAGTGTCCTTATCTAATCTAATCGCAAACGCGACAAACTCCTGGCACTGGTGTGCTCGACAACAGTCGGGTCGGGAATCGGCACTGGTCATAAAACTCAACAAACATACTATTCATGTCGAATATCAACATTTCCGGCAACAAGGCAGCGGCACGATTCAGTCTTCTCAAACGAAGTCGGTAGAAAGGTAAAAAAATCGAAATATCCTTGGGCTCTGACTTGAGGATATCGCACCACTACCCCCTCCGCCTCCAACGCATGAAATGCCTCTCGGTCGAGCATACAAGCAACACGCAGATCCAGGACGAATGCCTCCACACTTTCTTTATCCGAGTAGTTTGTTCGGTAAAAGCTTCCGAAATAGTCATCGAAATCCCTTCCGAACGGACCTCCGTCGAGCCAGAATCCAATGAGCCTGAGTTCCTGGAGATGATGAGGGAAACAAAGATGACCCTCATACCTGGGCACGACACCAGGCTCTGCCACCACGGTGAACGCAACGGCATCTGTACGAAGGACCTTCAGTGACTGAAACGCGCGAACAAATCTCCGAGCGGATTCGTTGAACGCGCTCGTTAGGACCCCTTGGAATCCGACTATCTCGAAGTTGAGCGACGTCGTCGGTTGAAAGTTGCCGTTTACGAAAATGTTGAGAAATATTGTGGAAAGATGTTCCATGTCTGCCGAATACGATCTTCTCTTTTGTTTGATGATCTGGAAGTTGAGGTCTGGTCCAGGTGAAGATCGACGGCTTGATGTTTGTTCTACAATGCGAAACCGCCAGGTCTTGAGCGTGACGGAAACCAAGGGACTGAAGGGACGTTTGCACCGTCCTACATACGAAGATGCTTGAGTGGCGAGCTCAAGGGTTGCGGCTTCATCGAACTGGTAAATCATCACGCATACACTAGTCCTTCGTTCTTCAGTCGGGGCTATGTGGCTCAGAATGATGTTGCATATTCTGATGTCGTGTGTAATTGAGAGGTGCTTTAATTGAGGGAGGTTAATAGAGGACAAGAGAGCCACGTCTCCTCGAAATTTGGGGTCTTTTCCTGCGGCGTTCGTTATCTCCAATGAACCGAGGGAGAACATATGAGTAAGAGCGTTAAGGAAGTCGGATAACCGGGAGGCTTGCAGATCTTCGGCGCGTAGCTGGACGGAGAGTCTCTGTAATTGTCGCATCCACGGAGCGTTCACATCGAACCCAAGTCCATGATGCCAAAAACTTCGAAGCGACGGTGCCACATTGTCGAAAAGTTTCGCCCCATGTTTGAAATCGAAGTTGTACTTCAGCAAAAAGTGTTCGAGACACTCGGTATGGGTGGATATTGCTTTCTCCATGAAAGTAAGTGCACCTAGGCATTTCCCTAAGTCGAGGTCAATAAGGCGGATCTGGCTCCAGTGGACAGTGACGAGCTTCGACAGGAGGACCCGGAATAGAGATGGCGTCCTATTAGCGACGGCGCCCACAACGGTCAATGGGCTATCTCCGGCTCTACGCAAAATTTCTTCGGCCCATGCTTGCTGACTGCGAATTGCGATAAACTCAATGTCTATGAGGCCTCCCCATAATCCCGGGTAATGTAGGATGATATGGCGCCAAAACGCGCATACCTGCGACGCACGCCGAATTGTGGTGAGCGGATGGAGGTCGAATTGGCTCAACTCGACTGAAGGGTCCGTGTCCGGTTCATCGAAAACTCGTTCAAGCTCCGGTCCTTTCTGCCTGGCCGCAATGAGTTCGTCGTAGCTGCCGTTTATCGCAAAGATGTCCCTGAGAACGTCTTCCGGGAGCTTCAATATCGGAGATCCTATATCTGCTATATCTGTCATAACGAACGGAGTGGTGCAGCGCGGCGAATGGGATCGTGCAGAGGACGGGGTGCGGGCGTCGTAGCCGTTGAAGAGGAAGATGCGGGCGCTTAAACTGTTATCGATGACGGGGTCGCGTGATTCCCAAAAAGGAGGCCGATGCTTCTGCTAAAGACATGAGAAGCCGGCGTGATCAATTCACTGGAAGTTGAATATTGAATCCACAAATTCTTATTGGGGAGAAGAGGACGCCGTCCACCGCTGCTCAAAAATCTAAATTAAACTCATAGCATTATCTCATTCCCAAGAACATAAAATGACTAAATATCTGTAATTGTTTGTCACCCAGAAGAATAACCTCCTACACCCCTCAGATTAAATGAACCCCTACTGCCTACGAGCAGCCTCCCTAACTTCCACATCAGGCTCGGTGGTGACAGTCGGGAGCGGCTCCTCGGGACCAGTGACAGTAGGCTCGAGAGGGGGTTCGACAACAGTGGGCTCAACCGTTGGCTCGACGATGGTCGGCTCTACGACAGTAGGATCGACGACGGTGGGATCTGGGGTAGGTTCGACGATAGTTGGGTCGGGGGTTGGCTCAACAACGGTGGGATCAGGAGTCGGCTCAACGGTCGGTTCAACGACGACGGTGTTGATATACACCGAGAGGCGACTTCCAGCACCGCAAAGTTCCGTGTGGTCGCCGATGCACGTCATAGAGCACTCGCCGAGCGGGGCTTCCGTGTCTTCGACGAGGAACTCGTTGCCGCACCCTGCGTGAACGAAACGAAATGGAGTAAGTTTCGATGAACGGAAGGTGGGAATCGGAAAAGAAGCACTGACAGCACTCGCGTCCGAACTCCAGACCGGTGATACTGTATCCCGTGGCTTCACACTGAGCGGTGCAGCTCTCGATGCTGGTGCCCTCGGGGATGTCGAAGCGCTCCAGGAGCGTGCGTCCGTTGCCCCCAACCGCGTCCCTATACGGATCGTGCATAGTAATCAATATCAGGGAAATAGATAAACCAGAAAGAGACCTACGTGTGGCATCCTGAGAAGACCCAAGTACCGACCTGCTCCTTGTTCGTGGGTGGCGCCCCGCCATTGGTGTAGACGCTGACACGTCCAAAGCCACCGCAGTTGAGCGTCGGGTCGCCCGCGCAGGCGAAGCTGCATTCTTCGTCATCGACTTGGGTCGCGGTACCCTGGATGTTGAAGTCACAGTCTATTATTATTATTAAAAGAAGGCGGAATAACGCGTGAGATATGCGAAGAGAAGGAACGGAGAGAATACGTACAGCACTCGGAGGTGAACTCGGTGCCCGCGAAGTTGAATCCGGTCGGGGCGGTGGTCGTTCCTTGGCAGAATTCGGTGCAGATCGCGGGTGTCAGTACCGGGTCGACGGTGACTGCCTCGAGGAGCGTGCGCGAAGAAGCGATATCCCTGGAGAATCCATTAATGATATAAAAACGAGAATTATTGAAATTGAGCCTACGTGAAACACCCAACATAGGTCCACCCTTCGAGCGGGCCGTTGGGGTTGGGCTCGTCCTGGCGTCTGTAGAGGTGAACTGACTCGGCGCTCGGCTTGGATGGAAGAGCAACGGTGGTGCCGACGAAGTAGGCCAAGAGAGCGAGGCGAGCGAATGAGGTGGAGACCATGGTGGCGGGTTTTCGGTGTCTAGAGAAGGTTCTAAGACTGAGTTATCCTGGAGGCGGCTCGAAGGATGGTCGACCAAGATTGCGTCGGGGCGTTTAAATATCGTTCAACATTTTCCAGTTTTCGTAAGTTGGTAAAGATCCGCTTAGGCACCGAGCCCCAACAATAGATCAGTCCATCGAGAACAAAGGATTTCGAAGAGAAGGAGAGTTGTCGATCGAGACAGGGAAGAAATGTAGACCTTGGACGTCGACAGAGGAGGCGAGGACGGGGGACAGGCCGGGGTGTCAGGAAAGAGTTGCCTTGAGAAGGTAAAACCACGCGTGAAGGGGTAGTTCGTGATTGAGTTTGCATAGATTTGGAAGCTTTCGTTGACGTGCCGTACGCGTCGAAGATGGGGTGAGAATAGACGAGCGAGAATGCTGATCATGACTGAAATAGAGCGATTCTTGGAGTATCCACGAGAGAGAATGGGCGCCACATCCACATGCGAGACAATGTCCGAAAATATGAGCCTCCAAAGGGGATGTGAGGTATTGTGCGTGGCGAACGATGAGTCGCTGCAGAGACCGATGCCCAACAACACGAACCGGGGTAAATGTCAAGCTTCACGAACATTTCCCTTTCACGTAGGCGTCAAAATGTCTGGAATAACAAAATGGACAAAAAATACGTGCTTCCTTTCCGTAACTCGAGCTGTTCGCCCTTGAGCAAGGAAGATGTCGATGCTGGCAGCAGTCATCAATCAGAAACATCTCCTCTCCCAGTTTTCAAGGACAGAATGGCAGCGGCAAGAAATACATAACGAGAAAGGCCTGGATTTACGAGCTTCGCAATCTGTTGGTGCGGAGAAAGACAGGAAAAAAGGCAAATGGGAGCGGTGGAAGACATCCGCTAGGCACGAAAACTTACGCGTGGGGTTCGGATCAAGGCAAATCCCGGCCGAAGGATGATTGGCCCCTGTCCTCGCTCTCCTGGTAGGACGGACGTGCTCACGATATGTCTGATTATCGAGTACTGGGATGGCCATCTGCTGTGGGCTGACGTGAATGGGACGGCAGAGAAGATAATTGCCGTCACCTCCGCTTCGAAGGAGCCTTCCATCAATGCTCGGGTGCATAATTTTGTTGTCTTCTACTCGAATAGTGCGAATTCCACCAGGGTTCCTAGCAAGTTCCTAGAGAAATAGATACGATGAGATCAAAAATGTCGGTTTTTTGATTTCTTCTTCCTCAAACAGTGCTCCACTTCTTTGAATCCTGGCCTGGGCCATGCCGTGACCACATTGGTCCTGCTATTGCAGGTATGAAATTCAGATGAGCAAGTCTTAAATCGAGGTGTAATTTAAATCAATAGTATTACGCGGGCTATTTTTTCTACGCGGCATCGCCGTGCTGTACAGGAAGTGACATAAAAGAAATACTAGGTATCCTGTCGTTGTCGCTCTCGAAGAGCGTTGAAATAGGGGCATGGGAACTTTACATAATCAGCGCATCTAGACTTTCGTTTGAACTTCACTCATCCACTGGCCGCCCCGTTCGATATCGCCTCCGATTATTGTTTCGACACAGGACAGCGTTGCTCACTAGTGTGGCTCTGATCGACGCCTTCGGGCCTCCGCACTGTTGGACTTGAACAGGAGCATAGGAAGGCAACGATGCCGTCGACGAATCACTTCGCGCAGTTACGGGCCTAGCGTAGGACTATACGTCTATCGGGGCGGATCGTGTCGATGATCACGAAAGTGGGCGAAAGTGGGGTAAAGGTATGCTCTTGTTTCGTATCCCTTGTACTTGTACGATGAAAATGGCTGCAATCTTAGAAATCTTTCCTTTACATCTTCGGGCACCTCACCCGCCTGTGTTTCGTTATTCGCGGCGCCTTCTCTTTCCAACGCAAAACAGAAGTTACGTACGCCGGTATACAAAGTATGTGCCACCTTCATGTTAGGTCTGTCGAAGACGCTGACAGTGAGGTCTAGTGAGGCTGTGTCCGGTGCCTGCTCGCAGCGCTCACGGACGCCCCGTTCATCCTCTCGCCCTGCCACCCTTCATCTCAGCCGCGTCTCCGCCCTTCGACAGATGCGGCGCTCGATCATTGGCGGGGCTGTGTGGTCCAGGAATAGCACGAGCAACCCTACCCTCGTGAGATATATACCCAGAGACCATCCACCACGACCTTCTTGACCTTCTTCCCCGCTGGCGTCACTATCCACGGCGCCCAGGTATATCCCTTTCCCGTCATTCTCCACTCGCCCCGCCTCCAGGACGCCGTTCTCTACGATTCTCAACCCTCTTTCTACCGTCGGCCATGTCCTTCTTCAAGGATGCGCAGAACGTCAGCATCAAGGGCGGCACCTTCAACGTCGTGAACGGCAGCATGCACGTAGTCGATAACAGCCGCCGCACGACCAACTTCAATTCGTTCAATACGAGAAACAACACGGTGATTGGGTCGCACAATAACAACTCGCAACGATATCGTGAGTGTTGTCGTTTCTTTTCGCGATATCGGAGTTGAGAACTGAGTTTTGTGGGTATAGATGGAGCTAGTGCCAATTTCGTAGCTCGAAATCTGGGACGCGATCGAGGACGATCGTCGACTGCTGATTATGGTACGCATCCGAACGCCTCCTCTTCGTCGTCTGATCTTTCCTGATGCCTCTTATCCTTCAATTCAGGCAACAAGCCTGCATACGCGTTACCGCCGCCTCCTACTCTGCCCGCCGACATGAATCTTGAAAATGCCCCACCAGGAAGCCGTATTCGCAACCAAGACTCCTTCAACATGACGAATGGTCTGGCGGATAACGTCTATAATAATAATTCGCAGGAATATGGTGCGTTGATACGTGTTGGTCGTTGATCTGAGCTAACAGACGTGTAGACTTCCAGTCGCGAGGCTCAACGAGGCGAAGTCGGACTACAGTTCAGACCTCTCAAGGTTCGTTATTTTGTTACCATTTTCACGACTTAGGTAAATATTTTGGCAGACGACGATGAAGATGTCTCGATGGAAGATCCGGACGACTCTGAGGACGAGCAGAGTTCCTCTGCCCCAACCACGCCTCCCTCTGCCTCTGGCCCGGACGTCAATGCATACAACCGTAGCGTTTACGGCGCCCATCCCTACTCGCAACCTGATCCGGCGCATCACTATCCTTATTCCTACGGACCACCACCACCGCAACAGGCCTACCAGTACCAACCCTACGCCTACGCTCTGCCTGTGCCCAACTATCACCACTATCCGACCCATGCCGGTGGCTACATGCAATCCCGACACCCGCAAACCTTCCGAATGGGCGAAGAGCAGAAACGGCAGTTCAAGGACGTCATGAAACACGCGATGCAGCAGGTGGCGAAGGACGTTCAAGAGATCCACGACGAGAACAAATCGACCAGTGGAGCATCGGTCCAGGAGGTAGACTCGAGTGACGACGAAGATGAGATTGGTCGGCCTCCCGCGAAGGGCGATGCGCCGACGTCACCCCGTAATGGGCTCTCGAAGGGCATGGCGAACATGGCTTTGGACGACGAGGCCTGGCCGGAGCTCTTGCGGGCCAAGACCATGCCGTCCGATGCTGCATCCACCGCCGCCTCGGACCCTGGTCCTAGTACGAACACGAAGCGGATCCGACCTCATCACTCAAACTCTGACCCCGAAATCCCTTCGCACCTCAAGGATCGAGCGTTTTCTGGGTTCGGACGTGGCGTATCCACTGCGGGGATATCGTATACCACACACCCGAATGGGTACACCCGCGTCGATAACAGCGTTCATACGAGCAACTATGGGTCGTACAATTGTGCGAGCAACCTCATGCAAGATTCACACAACGATAACTCGGTTAGGGCGTCTGGGATGATCGAAGGTGTGTCTTGGTTGTTAGATATCTCGACGCCATTGACATATCGACAGCAGATGCCCCAGGCCGTTCGAGGGTGTATAGAAGAGAGAGAGAACCGAAGAAACAAGGATCTTACCAACGTTCGTAACCTTCGTCATTTGAGATTTGTGAGGTCTATTTCTTTTTTTGCATTGCTTTCCTGCTATCCACATGGACTATGTACAGCTATCTATCATTGTATATTATCGATAACGTACTCAATTCAACCTTCTGTTCCTCTAGCTCGAAAATCTGACCCGCAAACTTCTTTATATGCACACGAACGCCAGGATTTGCGGTGCGCGGGCGTTACACCTGGTTGGCCAGCCACTTCGCTGGGTCGTCTTTTCCATCTGGGGTGAAAGGCGATGCGCAGGCGATGTTGCCTCGAGTACGTGCTGTCATCGATCCATCCCTGATCTAAATACAACAGCGGCCATACCAACATCCATCTTCTCGTTTGCCTTCATCTGTAAAAGAACAACGCAGCCTCAGCGCTTCTCCGCCGCTCTTACTGCAATCTGTGTCCATCCACACCTGTTCAGGGTGTGTCGCTAATGAGCTTGCATCGCTGTGGCGTTGCGCTGAACAACCGCCATACACAGCACAAGGGCACAATTTAACGAGATACTTTGTTCGGCGTCGTTATATGTGTCGTTGGATGTGCCAAGACCGGCTGACATCGCACCATAGGTCCCCATCTTACTCGTCGGAATGGAAGGTAGAAAGCCAGGAAAGAAGATTCCCCCCGGTGTCGAGGCGTTAGCCAACCGACTGGGAGCATCGACGGTCGTGATAAACACGCTCCAGAGGCCCGTTGCGGAAGAGCATCTCTTCTTCTTGAAGGACGTCGCTGAGCAGGCTCGAGCGATTCTCGAAACGATCAGGGTAAGCGCTGTTCTATATTTCTTCGCATCTTATACGGATGACTGGAGCCGTAGAAAATCGAAGAGGGACACGTTGACGAGGATTTTGCATTCCTTGGTCTCGACACTTGCGGGCTGATGTATATCATCATCAACGAGTGCGACAAGATCGTGAATAGGGGAGAAATCGTTCCAGAGAAGTTCAAATGGGAGGCAGGGGAGCTACAGGAGTACGTATGGGTTACTTTTCTGTGTATGGGGGGTACTAATGGATTTGAAGATTTCTCAAGAAGGTTCTGGTGTTCATGGAGAAGAAGATCGCTCGCGGTGTATTCAAACGAATCTATAAGCAAAGCAAGGACAGCGAGAAGGTCGAAAGCTATCGCGAGAGGCTGAAGAAAGTCATGCCGAAATTTGGGGTTCGTACGCATCGTCCGGGACGTTTAGGGCCATTGATACGAGGATGTTGTAGGTCTTCGAGCGGAAGTCCATCCAGGAGGTTCTTGAGCAAGTCATTAGTGAGAAGGTCCTGCAGCACGACATTCAAGCACGCCACGCTCAGGGTTTGGGACGAACAGACCCCGTCTCCTCTGCCACAGTACAGCTTGCGGAGAAGATGGTGGCGCTCGCAACTTCGGATGAGCCACTTCCTGTCGTCCTGATCGACTATGTCGACAGCGATCGTGAAGACATGAAGGCCCATTCATACCGTCTCGAGGCCGAACGAGACGCGCGGATGAAAAGAGAGGAAGAATTACAACAGCTGGAACTCAAGAAGGCTGCAGACGAAGAACGACGAAATGCGAGATTAGCCCAGGAGCTTCAGCGTAAGAAAGCAGAAAAGGAGAGATGGAGGCGGTCTGAACAGGAGTTCAGTCGTTTACCAGAAGCTACGGCTGCAGCGACGCTTTCTCCAGTTACTAAACCTCTCAGTCGACCGACCTCGCCCCAGAAAAAGGCACCTTCAGTCGCCATATCGGACTCGAACTCGGACTCGGACTCAGAGGACGACGGTCCGAATATTCCTGCTCGCAGTTCTACACCGCTCGTGGACCAGCTCCGCGATCAGGAGCTCGCGCGGCGTTTGCAGGAAGAGATGAACCGTGAAGCGGAAGACGAGAAGAGGAAGAACGAGCTCGCGGCGTATCGTCTGGCTCAGAAATTGCAACAAGAATGGGACGAAGAAGACAAAGAGCTCAGCGATTCTGAGGAGAGCGACTCTGAAGAAGAGAGATCGCCATCGCCACCTCCGCGAAGGAAGGCACCGTCGCCTCCAAGATCGCCTAGATCACATTCTCCCCGAACGCCCGTTTATGATCAGTCGCCTCAAATTCCTCAAATGGCCGTGCCTCCTTTCGGCGGCGTATTCCCTCCACACAGTCCTGGGTACGGACACCCAGGATATGCGCCACACGCCGTTCACCCGTCGACATCTCTACACAGTATACACGGAAGCGGTGTCTCGATGGGCGGCGGCCCTGTGTCTGTCATCCACTCGAATTCGGGGAATACAAACAGTTTCAATATCTCGAATAGTTTCAACGACAGTAGCGTTTCGTGGAGGAGGAATTCGGACAGCGATTAGGGAGATTTAGCTACACAATTTAGCGCATCCTTAGACACGTTTGAGCGCAATATCGGAATATAGTCCGTGTGAGTTGAGGAGGGCTCAAATGCCGTGAAGCTGTGCGTCGTCGCCAATGAGATTAAATGGGCGTTTGGGGGTACTTCCCAACAAGTCTATCATGAGGATAAAGTCTGGTCATGACTCTCGGATTGGAAAAGGATCCAAACAGGACCACCCTCCGTGCCGTAACTTTCCCACATACAAGAACAATGCCCAGAGGCGGTGCGCTCGCCCTCTTTCCTTCGTTCTTTCTTTCCCCTCTACCCCAACGTGTATAGGCATAGGAGGTAACTCACCCGACATATCCCATCCACCACACCTGCTTCCTTCGTCTGAGACTCCCAGTCCTCGACGGCTTGTCCGTCGGGCCAGGCCGAAGAATTAGTCATCAATTTAGGCGCCCACACCTTGCCTGCCCGTTCGACAAATTTTAGTCATAAGAACTCAAATTCCTAGGTAAGCGACCACCAGGTTGGCGCGACGTTGCCCGCTTATCCTCTTCGAGATAGTCTAATCATTCTTTCGAACAGAAATGGACTGTAAGTCGCCTAATCACCTCGATCGATGAGAATCGCTGACGAGGAGATGCAGATCATATCAGAAAAACATTTGATTCAGTCAATAAACACAAAGAAGACCTGAGTTTCCTGGCAGGAGTAGTTGAGCAAGTCGAGCTATTAGATGATGCTCGCCAAACGGTGTGTAAAATTCGACTATGACGAGCATGATGCTCAAAGTAAAACCTAGGTGAGAATCCAGAACCGCCAAGAGCGACGCGAGTGCGAAAATATAATCGAAGACTCCATCCGCATGGGCTATCTTGCAGTCCAATACTCTTTTGATACTGTGACAGGAGGAGAGCGCATCTCCACGGCACTCGAGGACAAAATTCAGAAATTGGACGAGTAGGCCCTGTTTCGATAGTCGTTATATCTGAACGTCAGTGACGCACCGCAACAGAGCTCTCAAGGCGGTTTGGATATTAATCAGCGAGGCCAGCTCTCCAGAAGAGGCCTTCGACTTCGATAGCGAGCGAGCGGAAGTCGACGGGTTGCTGAGAGGATGCCTTGCTACGTTTGAGGTATGCACTCCTCCGTTCTACACAGTCCAAGACTTAATCTCGGGCCGTTCAGATGGGTGCCTTTCACCACATACAGGGGGCATACGAAAACGCGAGAAAGAACGTAGACCGAGGTTTGAAGAGGAGAATTACTTTGACGATAGCACCTTCTCAAGAGCCCAAGAAGACGAAAGAGCCACGGCGACACACCGGACCAAACGAGAACACCCGCCATGGCCTCCAAGACCAAGGTACTTCTCGGATGTTGCTCGAAACGAGGCCGTCCGGAGAAGTCATCGACATTTCGGACTTCGAGAGCGACGCGGAGAAGAAGACACCGGCTCCGGCTAGAAAGCCTTCGAAAGCTAGCTCCACGAAACGTAAAGAGACAGCGCCAACGTCTCCGATGGACCGTCAATCAAGCACCTCGTCGCAGAGATCACGAGGCAAGGGGTATCATACCATAGCGCAACAAGGATCCATCCACGAAGAGCCCGACGAAATGGACTCTGGTGGTTCTCTCGACCAAGAAACGTATCGCAACTTCAATCGCGAGGGCGGGAGTAGCAAGCACCACCGTGAATCAGAAGAACGCACCCGCGACCAGCGCCGTGTGAAGACAGCTCCAGCAGTCAGAGTAACACGCCAGGACAGTGTCGAGACCCCGGGTCCACCGCCCTACTGCCCACAAATAAATCATGAGCGACGGGATGCGTACGACCCTCGCTTTTATCCCAGTGGGCATATGCCGGCGAGTCCGCAGCCTACATCGCCCGCAAGCTATGGTTATCCCAGATACTTCTCGCCTTCGACACCAACGCCTTCATTCCAGTCACCGTTGGAGGTTAACCCTCACCTCTTATCGAGAATTGGCCCCGGGACAAATGTCAAGATCGAAGATTCGTTCAATGTTGGCGGCCCTCCTCCCGTGAGACGCAACAGTGAGTCTTTTTGCCTTCTGTTAGCAGCAGATGACTTACTTCTTAATTAGAGAAGAATCGGCGCGAGACCGACCGTACCTGAGGTGGGCGTTCATCTCAGCGCGAGTTCTGCTGGTGGGCTGTGGGCTGCTGTGGGCACATGACGGTATTGAACAGGATGAATTTATTCCTTTGTGTAAAATATTATAAGGAGTATCGCGGCTTGAGAATTGTAATAAATCTACTCACCACTTAGACAAGATGGCTGCAATGCGGGAAGCTGTGCATGGAAGGAACGTTCATGACTCAACTACATAGACTCGTCAGAGTCTGGCATCACTAATTCACAGCCATGCATCCTTTTATGGACGAACATTTTACACTCCGACTATCACGTGTACTTTTCACAGCGTCCAATGAACTGCCTAGCGCCTTGTCTGCGCCCACGACGGACCCCGACTACACTGCCTCACACAGCACAAACGGGATTCTCGTATGCAGGGAAAGTGAATTTACTATAAGACCACTGTTTCATTTTTCCTTTTAATTCTTACCCATGATGGGCTCGTCGAACAAACCAAATGGCAACAAGAACGCCTCAGCGCACTGGACGCCCATTGATATCGGCAAACCATCCACCGTCGACTACGTGATAGAGGGGTCGACCATCGTTCTCAATGCACTAAAAAATGCTAGCTCGGTGACTAGCATTCCGTTCTTGAGCGAAGCAGCCGCTGTGGCGGTGAGGATCATGACGATGGCCCAGGTTCGTTGTCGATGCACTTTTAGGCGCCGTTGTTGATAAGCGAAAATCTCTAGGACGTTCGCGGAAACACGGACGCATTTGTTGAGCTAGGTAGAGATGCTTGCGGTCTCGTGTACGCGGTGCTCGTTGAGTGCCAGAATATCGTCAATTCTGGTCGCGTAATACCTGAGCGTCTGCAGAAGCACATTTGTCAGCTCGTGGAGTACGTTATTCGCATTCGATCCACTTCTGCACGCTTATCTTACTGGGTGCTAGAAATTTGAGAACGATCGAGAAGTACGCTGAGAAGAAGGTCGACCGGGGCTACGTCAAGCGAGTCATTCATCACAATAGGGACAAAGAACAGATCGAGCAGTACAAGGTGATGCTCCGCCAATCGTTGGACTTGTTCGGCGTAAGTCATTGTTGTCTTTCTCATTCACGAAACAATGGCTCTGATATATCTAATTTAGCTTCAATCTACGATCACGATACAGGACAACGTGCAGCGTGTTTTAATCGCTGTTGAGGCCCAACGGGACGAGTTGCGTCTTGAAAGAATCAAACGACAGAAGGAAGAAGAGGAGCGAAAAAGTGAGGCCGAGATCAAGAGGATTCAAGAGGAGGACGAACGCCTCGCTCGACTCGAGGAAGAGGAGAAACGCCGGAAGGAGAACGAGCGCTTAAAGAAGAAGCTTGCAAAAGAAAAGAGACGCCGAGAGAGAGAGGAAAATCGCCGTGCCGCAAGTGAGAACGATGCTGATTCTTCCGACGAAGAGAAACGAAAGCCTTCGAGGCGTCCGAGTCCCCAGCCTCAGCAGTTCGCTCACGGATATCCATACAACCCTTCACTTAGGGTTAGGGTTATGGGGTGTTTTTTGGACCATAGGGACTTTGCCCTAGGGCCCTAGGGCCATAGAGACAGTAGGGACATAGGGAGGAAGGCTGTTATCAGAGTAGAATGGGCTTGATTTCTGCATGTATATATATTTGGGAGAACTTAGGGATCACACAACTCAAGGGAAAGAGGTTCTCTGGAAGGATTCAGGATTGCATATGAAAGAGATGGGTGTAAGAGAAGATGATCCTGGATCACCTTGCATGTGTCTTAATTTGCCAGGCTAGAAATGGAAAGCAATCTGTGGAAAGCTCTTCCGATGGTTTAGAAATTATGAAAGATATTTACATAGTTCCATGTTTTCGGGAAATACTTTGTGAGCTTTGAATACGCTGCCTGTTGATGAAATGCTGAAACACTCTGCGAGTAGATGGGAGAGTGGTATAAATTCCGCAGTCCTCTTTCTCTCAGCGATGAACGCTGGGCCCTCCTCTGCCAACTCCTCGAGATCGCCCTCATAGTCGAATACCACGAGGGCGTCTATTCTCGGTGCCTGCCATCCCCTCGCCATTTTGTTAAGGGGGACCTGTTCCACCCAGTCCTAGACAAGAACCTTGTCACACAAATCAGTGCCACCTACATCAATGCCAGGAACCTGAATGGTGTCCAGGAGACGACCTCCTACGTTGGGATACTAAAAAAGGTAGAGTCTAGCTAGTACTCCTCTCACTCGACACCCTCTGAGGTCTACACTGAACAAGGGTGTTCAGACAGGAACGACATCCGCTAAGCGCCGTAGGGGAGAACGCGTTCGATTTTTGGCCAGCAAAGAACGAATGTACATACATCCGAATTTCAATCTCTCCTCGCACTCCTATGAATGTAAGAAAGATGTAAGACGTTTGATAGGGAACAGAAGCGGACGATCCAGGAGCGGCTTGGACATGCAGGTGAATACAAGTCCACAGGATCAGGCCTCGAAGGGTGGAGCAGGATCTCATGTACATCCACGATCTAGGATCGTGCTTCGCCAAAAGAGAACACAAATATTTTTGGTTCCACCAGCCATTGAAATAGTTACATCCTGATATAATCAGAGACGATTGGAAACCACTAGCAACTGCATTGGGTATGGCGGGCGAGGTGCTTCTTCACCGTTTATAAGGTAGCTTGAAAGTCTTCAGAAGAGGCTAGTGCGAGTAAACCCACAATACCATGGCGTGCAAGTTCAGTGGCGGTACAGGTAGACCTGCAAGTGCCTCCAGTAATGATCTTGAGTTCGGGTTGTGTATTGGTGATGCAGGTCAAGCCTGATTTAGACAGGCCCCTGTATCCCTAACCCTACAGGTGCAGACCATCGGAGATGAACCTTGTGATCCAGGAACGGCTTGGAGACAGGCGGGAGTCCGGATCAGAACTGTTGGATCTGTCTCGAGATCGAGGGCGCGAAGTCATCTCGGGTGTATACACGATCCTGGATCGCGTTTCGCCGAAAGAGGACGCAAGTATTTTTGGACCTGCCGGCAGTTGAAATAATCATGTTCTCGTAGAGAAGGGCGATCGAAGATCGTCCTTCCATGATTATTCTTCGCCTCGGAGTTCATGAATACTTAGGTTCTCTTTCGGCGAAAGGCGATCCAGGATCGTGTTTGTATCACACTAGGCAAGGAAGACCGCCAGCGTAGGTTTCTTTCTCGAAGGCGTCTAGGCCGTCGAGGTTAGTGAAGGTGGCAAAATGCAGGCTGGGCAAAACAAGCACACGAAGGAAGAGTGGTGTCGCCAAATATATGAAATTCGAAGGACCGAACGGAGTTATTAAAGAGGAGAGAAAATGTAGAGTAGACGACACACTATTTTACCAGGACCGCATCTGAGACGATGCGATCTGTGGTCGACATACATTTCCGAGTCGGCGAAACATGTGAGGTGTCGGGGAAGATAGAAAGAATAGTCGAAGCAGGAGTAAACCCCATGCGTGAACTACGAGCAGAATATTTGAAAACGGACGCTTGATGCAGGAGTGAACCCCATACAGAAGCGATGGATGAGTTGGTGAAGGAAAGAGCGAGTGAGGCAAGGTGGCTGTGCTAATTTCCCTATCTGGACGAAGTTGATTTCGCTGACCGCTTGCACCAGAACCACCACCACCACCACTACCTCAACCAGCACCTCCACTGCCTCCACCCTTTCCTTCGCTCCTAGCGCCGCATTCGCATTCGCCTTCGTCGCCGCCGCCGCCGCCGCTACCGCTACCACCAGCTCTTCCGTTACTCCGCCCTCCTCAAGACCACCGCAACCCAAGGCCTCCCGTGGTATTGTGGGTATCACCCGCACTATCCACCTGAAATCTCGCAAGTTGCAAGTCCCCTGTGGTGCTGTGGGTCTCACCCACATTATCCACACCAAGCCGGATCCGCCCTAACGTTCTCAAGGCCGAAGACTCTTCCTCGTCCGACCGTACCGTATTCCGTGTCGTTCTCCAGCTCCTCGATCGGAACGCCGCTCTCTCCAAGTCGCCTGGCTAGTCCCTCAGCTCCAGTAAACTTGTGAGCCCACCAACTCTTCACGCGTTTAACAGTAGTGTTTCAACTTCCTTAGCAGAGCGTCTCTACAATAATGTCCGACTCCTCCCCGCGGCGCAAACTGCCAGAATGGTGTCGCAAGGCGCTATGGCATTCGACCTCCGGTTTGGTTGTCTGCTCATCCGACCGCAGCCTTCCTCTCGAAGCCGCTGGCGACGAAACGGAAGACTTGGATTTCACCAAACCCAGAAAGGTGTCGGACGACAACATCTACCTTGCGTTCGTGCTGGTCCAGCACTACGGCTGTGGAGAACTCTTCTCTGCCATCCAACTGCTCGGTCCCCATCTCTCTGCTGCGATAGAACCGATTCCCTTCACCGACCCTCCTCGCTATGCTCTGAAGTCGGAGTATATGGATGCCTGGATTGATTTGGAAAACGCCCTCCTCACCATATGCTATGAGCTCCTCGACAAGCACACCCAAAGCCACCAATTTCCAAAGATGAGCTACCCGATGTGGCCTTACCAATACGGCTACCGGGAGGGGCACGATTCCAGAGACCTCGCAGTAACCGCTTGTCGGAATTCACGGAACGCCTTTCAGGTTTTGGCCGGCTATGCAACCTTCACCTTTTCCCTTTGGCTCGGCAAGTATGAGGCTACCTGTTTCGACGATGCATTCGTGTATCTGGCAGGGATGGATACCCAGCCGTTCCCGCAGTCCTACCTCACCCTCCTTCGACACACAGTGGTCTGCAACCTCGCACCATATCTGCACGCAGGTTGTTTCCTCAACCCTTACACGACAAAGTGGGCCCCGTTTCTCAAATGTTTCACAAGGGCAAACACCCCTGTGTGGCTTCTATGGGGCCATGACTACAACAAGACCAAGACCGTTGACCCCTACATGCAGAAGTACTACCTCCCCCCAAACCACATCGTAGACCTAGCTAGGTCCGAAGCCTCCGCCCTCGCCGAAGAGACGAAACGCCGGGCTGCGGCGTTTGCTTCTATTCCTGCACCAACGAGAGATGCGCCACTTCCACACTTCGCCACTGCATTCAGCGGCGATGAGGACGGACTCCAGGAGCCCCAGTACAGCACCGCACCAGCGTCGGTCAATCCCATCGACCGCACTCTCATCGTAGATAGACGCTCGCGCCAGCTTCGGGGTGAAAACTGGAGCGCGTTCTTCCGACGCATGGAGGATGCTCTGGAGACAAGGAGGCGAGAGGAGACCCCCGAAGAACGAGGTAGACGAGAGGGCATCGAGAAGCAGGCTCTCCAGAATGGTTACACCGCCAAAACCCCCATCTTCCTGTGGGAGCAGGATGAAGTCGACACCACGTTCTGGCGCCGAACCCTCCTTCCAAAGGCCAAAATCGAGATCAACTGGGGCAACTACTCGAAATTTCAAAGGAAATTCTGGTCGCACATTCGAGAGTGGGACCTCTGCCCCCAGCTTCCTCGTTTTCCAGAAGGAGTCAACCCAAGAGACTTTGAGACGCCCGTCGAAGAGATCGACGATGTCGAAGATGAGAGGTACAACTTTCTGTACTCGAAGCCCACCGTTCCTCCGAAGAAACCGCAGGACAAACACACAGAGAACTTCGCCTCTCGACTGCTCGCCTCCGTCCGAACGGCCATCGCCTACGACGATACATCCGACTCTGCCTTTTCTCTTTCTTTCCACTCTCTCACAGCCCACCTCCGGATTCGGCATGGTTTTGACGCGGAGTCGGAGAAGTCTTGGACTCCGGCGCTCCACGACTCTAAGAACGCCACCTACATCGAAAGGGGCAGCCCATTACGGCGGCTCCAGTATGAGAGTTATCCGAACCTAGTGCCTGGACAAAATCAAAAAGAGGTCCGGGTGTCCATTCTCGACTTCTACGACACCGCCATCGCTGTGAAGGAGAAGGAAACCTCTTACAGAGACCTACCCGACAGCTGGGATATAGCCAGGTCCCTCAAAATCAAATTTTTCTCTGTTCAACTTCAACGCGTCAAATGCCATCTTCCCGACTTCAAGGAGATCTTCATCCTCAGGCCCGCAGGTCGCTCGAAGGCCACCTCCTCATGGTTCGTGGCTATACCTGAGGCCACTGTCGTTCTTCTCGTTTACCGGTCTGGGTGGGCAACAATGCGGGAGATCGCTCAGGGTCTGCTGGGGCTAGGAGTTCGATTCTACACAGTTCTTGAGGCCAAGAAGAAGCCGGAAGAGGAGCGGAGTTGGGAGATGATACCCTTAGGGCTGGGTTCCAGGCCCAACGACTTCCACCCCAGCCAGGAGGACTACCTGTCCTACCTCGCGGCCAGAGACCAGGTGCTGAGGAGCAGATACGGCCGCGCCATTCGCCTCGCTGGGGGCATCGCAGGTAGGATAGCCACCGAAGTTGTGCCGGATGTCGAAGTTCTCGATGGCCCCATCGTTGGCGATGCACTTATTGGCAGCCATGGAGACAGCTTCTTCGTCGACGATACCGTAGGGGAAGATGTGCTCGACATTGTGAGCGGTGTCTACTACGTCCAGAAAGCGCAAGGGTCCGGAAGACCTAGCCAACAGTCCTGGTGGCCGAAACAAAACTCTTGGCAGAGGATGGGGTTTAGCGAGGTGCAGTGGCAACCAGACGCGGAGGCCTTCTACCAAAAGCGCCAAACTGCTCTTCGAAATGGAGAGTACACCCTCAGGAAAGCCACAGACTGGAGGGAGAAGTTCAAGTACGATCGGAAGTTCACAGCGCGGCTTCATGAAGGTAGTGAGGCTCTCGCGCGCGAGTTCCTTAGGCACAGCAGCAGAGTCGGCTGATCTGTGAGTCTTCCCTTTTCTTCACCTTGCTACTCCTTCACTCAACTCCAACATGGTTCTCAGTCTTCGTGTCTTTGACTGCACCCTGGCGCCTTCGATATTTGTAAATACATACATTTCTCTATCTCTATTTTGTTCTCTTGGACCTCCCTCATTCTCCCACTACGGACCGCCTCCATGTACCCACTCCATTCAATATAGTATTCTTGAGCCCCCACATCTGTGCGATAAACAATGGGTAAGAAAGACGGGGCTGTGATGCCAGGAATTGAATACGGAGACCCTTGAATGAGAGCTACTCATGGCTTGGAGTACAGCCTGCAGAGTTTGATCGAAAAAACAGCTGAGTTGTCTATAGATGTACTTGTGTAAAAAAGATAGTCTATTCTAAGTACTTGGGCTACGACCCTCCCTTGCGTCTATGAAGCGGCCGTAGGACTCAAAGGAGCCTGCAACAGTCCTCCCATAGTCGGACGTGCCGCTGTGCCCCGCTTCCCTGGCGTCGTAGAGGGTGTCCCACCCGGATTCCAATGCGGCGTACATAGACGCCTGGTTAAAGAAGACGATGCTTCCTCTCCCTTCGTCCCCACCCTGCTCCAGAGGGAGGGAGTTCTCCGGCGTCGGGGTTTCACCATCCACCATGGTAACAAATTTGAAGTCTAATGAGAGGAGCTGTATAAAAGGGAGCGCATAGAGGAGAGTTGGAAGATACGTGCCGTCTACATCAATATTAAAATGGTAGAGTAGGGAGGAGGGGTAGGCGAAAATCACCCAAGGAGGGAGCTGAATAGCAACCCCTGCCTCCCACAGCACAATCCAGGACTTCCTTGTGTTGTCGAAACGTGATCCTAGATCAGCATTGAGAGAGAATCGGAAAAGGGAGTGAAAAAGCATACCGGGTAGCTGGTATATCACCAGCGCACATACACCGACAATGTTCTTTGAGTCTGAGTGGGGTCTGCAGTGTATCCTCTTCTGCCCGAGCAGGATACCGTTTATGCAGAAGTTCCAGAACAGCCCGAACATGGGTCTGATTCCGTACCTCTTGTAGTGCCAGTCCACACTATGGCGGAATCTATCCGCCACTCCAGGGAAAGCAAGTTCGACTACGCTCGTTACCTGCCCACTGCTCAGCATCAGACCCCAGCATGTGGCCTAGATTTGGAAGACCTACATGAGTCTCTTCACAACTCTGAGCTCCATGAACTCCAAGACGTGAGCTTCATTCATGGTGTGCCAGTAGGTGGGGGTAGGGGCCCGGGCTTGAGTCAGAGAGTTCAAGAGTTGGGCAGCAGACCTACCACAGAGTATGATCGGTGGTGGCCGAGGATAGAGGGAAGGTGCAGGCCTCTAACGCCTTTCGCGCAGCGGGCGACGGTGTCTTCACTTTCGAGTTCGGACCCTAGCAGGAGCTGGATAGCCTGCCAAAGCGCTTCGTCTGCTTCTCGAAGCCAGGGCAGCACCGTTGTCCTGTAGGCAAAGGCCCGGTCTTCAGAATCCAGGAGCAGTGCAGGCCGCTCCTGTGCTCTTAGTGGGCATGAGCCCAGTTTGTATAGGTATGGAGGGCGGCATGGCGTACCTGTCGTAGTATACAGGGTAGAAGTGCTGTACATACTCTACGATAGAGCCGTCGTCGTAGGCGCGGGAGACTAGCTCCCTATCCTGCAGGGAAGGAAGCCTGCCGTGCCATCCAGTTGAGGCTGCCAAGCCGTTGGCCTCCAGAGAGAACCCGTCGCTCCGAACGAACGCGGAGGTGGACTGAAGACGCCTGCGCAGGGTTAGTCTCCGCGCCTCCTTCGCGTTGCCCTCCGCCTTCTTCAACACTCTTCCCTTCCTGGGTCTGCGTTTGCTTGACCCCTTCCCCCTCTGGCTTTGCTTCTTCGGAACGGAGCCCAGCGCTGCTTCAGGAGGCCGAGAGGTTGTGGGCCGGGGCAGGAGGAGGCTGGAGGTGAGAGTTAGAGAAGGCAGAGCTCTGAGGGGTACAAGCTCACCTCCAGCGAGGGGGGTAGCCCTCCTCTTTGTCCTCTACAGCAGAACATGCACCTTCTTCGCAGCCAGAGGCGGCGTCGAGCTCCTGCGGTGCTTCAGGAAAGTCTTCGACGTCCAGAGCAGATGGCGTGGTGCCTGCAGCTGGGGCTTGGAAGGCGGAGAAGTCGCAGTCGAATGGCTCCAGGTGTATCTCCAGCCTCTTCAACTCCTCGAGATACACCCTCTCCAGACTCTGCAGGGAATAGGCGCAGCGGAGCTGGAGAGGGACGGCCTCCAGCCACTCTGGATCGACACGAAGACGCTCAGCACGGGGCATTGCTCGGCGGCAGCGCGTGTCTCGGGCTTGTGGGGTAGGCAGGGCGTCCGTTCGAGTTCCTTAGCCCCTCTGCTCAGCAGTAGGCGCTGCTCGGCGAAGAGGACGGGGTTCTCGAAGGGTATCTTGGGCGGAGAAAGAGGGGAGACGCTGGAGTTCTTGTGGCTGAGGGTCTACAGCATCAGCACCGCGGTTCCTTCGGGGGTCTCAACGCACCTCGTCTGTGCCAGTTGGAGCTGCTGGTGCCGGTGAGACCGACAGTAGCAGTCTTGTTGAACGCGCTGGTGCCGGTGAGACCGACAATAGCACGCGTATTCGAGGCGCCGACGTGGATCGAGCTGTTGAGTGGTGGGATCAAACAAACGAAGGACACGTTTAATAGGGACTAGTCACGTGTAGCGTGACTACACGTGATCACTGATGGCAGTGAGATTAGATCATGAAATCGAACTACCCCATCTTCCTCTCTCCTGCCAGTCTCCGACTACGCCAGCGGAACCACAACGCCCTGCCTGGACTCTGTGGGTTGTACCCGCACGTCCATCCTTCTGCAACCAAGGTATTCTGGGTCTTACTCAGACTATCCTCGCCGGCTCCTCTTGCATCTCGCCCCACTTCTGGTATTTCTTTCGCTGGCTTCGACTCTTTCGACTAGGTGCGCCGCGGTTTCGAGTTCAGCCACGATAGACCAGCCTTCTACCTGCCACCAACGTCTCGCCGCCATCATCATCCCCACGAATCCGTCTTCAGCATCGCGTCCATCTCGTCCTATGGCTACGCTATCCACAACGGCGCGCCGGATCCATTCGACTACGGATTGCCTCTCCATGTCGATGACAGTTGAAGATACGTTCGAGTTCATGCACAATCGGCCTACTCGTCGCCGTGTCGAGAGCGATGCCTCAAGCTTCTACTTCCATGCGCCGGCATCTCAGCAAAATGGAGGTTGCGGCCACCGTCGTCAACAGTCGAACATGTCGGTATCCTCTCTCGCTCCACCCATCGGCCTCTATAACCGTAGCTTCGGCCACCATCGACGCAACGACTCCTCTGCGAGTACCAACTCCGTCGCCGTCTCCTTCCCAAAGCACGGCACAAACCCCGGAGTTCCAGCTTAGGCACGTCATCGCAAGGACATGTCTATGGATTCCGTCATGAGCGACTTCTCCGGCATGCACCTTGGACGTCCAGGTCTCGGAGACAAGATGTTCGACAACGCCATCGACCTTGGCCCACTCACCTCCACCACAGCTTCGCCTCCGGAGAGCGCCTCCCAACCTCAGTTCCAGCGACGTTCGTCATTTGACTCGATTATGGATGATGGCCCGCAGTCGATGGAGGACTCACTTTTCGATAAGACCGGGTATCGCCAATCATCGTCTGAGGACTCTGTCTTCGGCGATGACTGCTCGCATCCACCTGGAGGGCTACTTCCTCCTCATCAGTTCCGCCCGCTGTCCGTCATGAGCGACTCTAGCGTCCATAGTCCACCGAAGGAAGACGACACGATGATCAGCGTACGTTTCAATTTATTCTCTATTTTCTTTGATTTTTCACTTATGTTTTTCTTTCACAGATGCTCGGTGGTGGCCATGTCCGCCGCCGCTCCGTTGGCTCGATCGTTGAAGCCTCGCCTTGTGTCCGCGTCGAGAAGAGAAAGTATTCTGCGTTCCAGGAGCTCAACATGTACAAGAAGCAGAACCAGTACGAATCTCCGAGCAAGGCCCGGATCGTCGAGAAGCCATCCATCGCCTCCACCACCTCCTTCCATTTCGGCGGCGAACGTATGATCAAGGCTCAATGCGGTCTTCTGGAGCGTCAGAGCTTGGAGGATAGTTGCCTGATCGCAGATGGGGAGGAGCTCACTAGTGCTTGTACGTTTATAATTTTTCTGATATTTTCTGATCATTTCCTCTGTTCTGCGCCAGTATTCTCTCGCCCTGCACCCGCTGCCCGCTCTCGTTTGAGCACCTGCACCTCAAGCTCCGGCGGCGACACTCCACGTCTTTCGGCCTCGGATGGATCCTCGATCTCAGGAGGATCGCAATCAAGCATCGATCTTTCTCAAGTCAATATAGCCCTCTCGAATGCGACCCATCCCATGTCTAACATCGCTCGCCAACGTGCCCGTGCCGGTGCTCGTGGTACAGGCCATCGTCGCCGCTACTCGAAAGCCCACATGTCGCGTTCCTCCGTCTATGAGACCATCGAGGAGGAAATCTCCAACTCGCCTACCCCGAACAAGAGCATCCTCTCGAAGATGAGCGTCCGACGACTCGTCAACCCGTATACGCTGTCGATTCCGACACTGCATCTCTCGGCTCGCCGGAGGAACCTACATGGGATGACGAACACGGCCTCGTCATGCTCCGCAAGTTCTACGCCCTTCGCGATGAAGCCCATGTGACGGTGACGGAGAGTAGGCGCATCTGGCGAGATACTCCGTTCTCAATCTTCGCAGTCCAATGTAAGTTTTATTCTACCAGCGTTGTTGTCAGTCTCTTACAGTAACGTCTCTAGCTTTCCAAGCTCCTGACCACCCAACCGGCATGCAAGCTCTCATCGAGCACTCAGTTCAGAACTAAGGCCCATTGCCCTCGGAGCTTCGCCCTCGCCGTATCAGGTCTCGAACATCCTCGCGCGCATTGCCGTATCCTCAGAAATGCGTCTCAAAGGCCACCATCTCGCCGGAGCAGCCTCATGTGCCCATGACTAACGTTACTCAGCCCATGAATTCGATTACGCGGGTCGGCTCCACAGCTCGTCGAAACACTCTGGATTGGTCAAAGAGGAGCATGGGCAAATTGTCGACGGACCAGAAGGAAGACGTCGCCGCAAAGGGTAGCATCGCAACGTAAGTCGCCAGTTCTTTGTGCTATTAGTCCTCGCTCATTGTACCCCATAGTCCTGGTGATGGTTTACGACTCAATCGACCTCGTCCGCGTGGCAGGCCAACACCGGGTGGCCGTACTCCGGTGTCTCAAGCCCGAGCCATCCGCGCTTGAAGATCTGAAGTCCGAAGTGCAACACACCAAACCTTCTCCAGGATCCCTCAGAGGACCGCGTGCTGTGCTATGCCGCCCATATGTCCCATATCCATACCCTATATCTCAGCGTCTCCATCATCTCGCATCCATCCACCGCCACTACCAACGCCATCTCACCATTATCTTGTAACGCCATCGCCATGAAGTCTTCACGAAAAATTCGTCACCTACGTCCTTGACGTCCCACGACTTCGCTACGTATTTTCACTTCTCAGTTTTGTTCTTTTGTTCCGTATAGATTGCTAAAATCTCACACCTGCTTTCGTTGCTCGTTGCTTTCTGATTTGCTTTCTTGGTCTCGCTCTCGTCTATCTGTTCCCTCAAGTACACATATTTTGTTCTTTAGCCTATTCATTGTTCCTCATAGGCCTTGTGACGGTTTGCGCCTTAATCGACCTCGTCCGCGTGGCAGGCGATCTTCCCCAACGCAAGTGTTGACGCGCCCGCTCTTAGATCGCCCTCTTTGTCGAATATTCACAAGTCGTCTATCTTCCCTAGACCTAATATGATCTCGTTGGGTTTTGTGAGTTGCACTCCGCTCTACCCCCCATACTTCTACCTCGCACCCACAAAGGAGACGATCCAGGATCGCACTTTCGGGAACAGGATCGCGAGTGCCTTGCGTTGTGTTTAGCCCTTCACCCCGTTTCGTCAGTGAGGGAAACTGTGAACCAACGTTGACCGCTGAACTATGAGTGGACTTCATCTGTACCCTGTAGTTCGTTGTTTTATCTGACTACGGATGCTTCTGGTGTACGAACGTCGGACCTAACGCTTCGTCGTTCAGGGGTCGACTTGGCTTGGTGAGTTTCCTCTTTTCATGCATTCCTCCTCTGCCCATCCAACCCTTCGAGTTTTATTTCTCCAACGCACAATTCGTTCGGAGGACAGTGGCTGTGCAAGCCGGGCGCCGGCTTGATCGTAATGACCAACATTCCAACCTTGAACTGGAACCACCAGCACCGCGCAAGACTTCGATATGGGCTCTGTGGGTTGTACCCGCACATCCATCCAATATACAACGGCGGTATTGTGGGTTGTACCCGCACTAGCTGCTTCCCCCCTCCCTTCCGCCGCCGCTGGGACCGCTGTTCTTGTCATTGTCTGCAGGCGTGTGTTTAGCGCGTCGTTCTTTCTTAGCCGTCAAGCTCGCTTCTCTGGTTTAGTGGCAAAATGGTAAGGGCGTGTATTTCAAAGGCTCCTGTACTGAATATCTTGTATATACACAGAGACAGAGAGAGCGTACATAGGAACAAATGGCGTACATGTAGAAGGGGAGCAACACAACACCTTTTCTTTGAAGAAGGGCTCTACAGCAGTCACAAATATGGTGCGTGTCTCCTAGCGTCCATTCTGCTTCTTTTTCTTCAACTGGAGAGCCGCTTGGCCCTGGGCTAGTGATTTTTTCGAGGCGGACGGCGCTTGCCTAGGTGGTGGTGACATATCGCGCCTCGGTTGGCTGAGGAATGAGGAAGGCTGGCGATGAGCTAGCGGCACAACGATGTCAGCGAGAGGGACCAGGAAACTGGGAGCAGGACTCACTGGACGGGCTAGCTACCGCCGCAGACAGAGGCTGCGTTGGTGCTGAAGAGCCTCCACCGACTGCGGAGGGTGTAGGGGTATCTGGGCCTCCGGGTGAAGTTGCTACGCTTCTGGGCTTGATGGAGTGGCTTGCCGGGCGGTGTTTCGGAGGTCCAGTTCCTACAGGGGGGGCGGGCTTGGATGGAACGGGCTCTGAAGGAGTCGGCTTTGGAGGAGCAGCAGTTGGCCTCGACGGAGCGGGCTTCGAAGGAATAAGAGTCGGCCTAGACGGAGCGGGCTTGGAAGGAGCAGGAGTAGGTCTGGGCGTGGCAGGCTTCGAAGGCATGGATTTCCAAGGAACGGGTGCAGGAGAAATGGGCTTCGAAGGAGCAGGAGTGGGCCTTGGCTCAGTGCTCCTTGGCTGAGTCGACGGCCCCGCAGACTTGGGGCTCGCAAGGAATTGCCGCCTTGCCTCCGGCGTCTTGCTGGGGGTCGACGCCTTCTGAGGCGATCCTGTCGGGCCCATGCGCGCCACCTTGAGCGGACGCTGTGGAGTTGGTGCTACAGAACGGGGGCCCGATGCGAGAGGACCAGTCCCAACCTGAAGATTGAGCGAAGGTGGGTTGGGCTGTTCTGGCATACTCTGTGGGTCGAAAATGTCTGGCGATGGCTGTCGAGGACGTTTACGGGTTGGGCTTTCGGTTTCGGATGTTCCTATACTTCTTGAAGTAGCATAGCGGGCGCCATTCATAGGCCTGCGTCCGGTTGAAAACGCGCCCTCAGGTGTGACAGGGAAGCTGGTGATAGGCGATGCGGGTTGTAGAGGAGCATAGCTCTGGACATCGTCTACGGCAACGGTGGTCAGAATAAGACAGTCTTTCGAAGAGAAACCCTACCTCCGCTTGTGAGGGAGCTCATAGATGCGTTCGAGTGTGTGTACATCGAGATGTCGGTGGAAGACCCGGTGGGGTCCCCAGCAGTCAACGTTGGCCCATCCGTGTCCACGGCGCCCTCCTCAGTGGGGGCCTTGCCTTTTCCTTTCCGCCCCTTCGTAAGCCGTTTCTTTCGGGCCTTCTTTGGTTTGGGCTCGGGCGCATCTTCCATATCCCCTTCGTCCTCTTCAGGGTCCCCCAGCGTGTGCCCACTGAGGAGCTCGTACATGTCTGGGAGTGAATCCGTAAATGAAAGGGGTTTTTCTTTTCATGCCTGGCTCACCTTGTCCTCTTGGCTTGGAGATGAAATCTTCTTTCGCGAGGAAGGCCTCGAGTGCGTCACCCTTGCCGCGCGCCATGCCCGCAATGAGAACATCAGCCGTCTCGTTCGCGAGAAGCATGTAGAGGTCGACCTCCTTAGTCTGAGGATGCCGATGGGCACGACCTCGGATCTGCCTCTCGTCTTGAGCACTCCAGGGTTGGTCCTAGCACAGGTAAGCCTCGGTTTGATGCCGGAAGAGCAGACTCACAAGAAACACGATGACCTTCGCACAGGACAGATTCAGTCCTGTCGATCCCACCATTGAGAAGATGAGGACGCGCTCGGAGGGGTCTTCTCGGAACTTCTTAACGACGGCGTTGCGGCTCTTAATTTTGGTCTGGCCATCTATATGAAGGTGTTTGATGCCATAGAGGTCGAAACACTATATGTGCGTCAGGGACCTTCTTGAATGGGGATGAAAAGCGGCCTTACATTTCGAAGAACAGGCCCCAAGGAGGGGAATTCCTGGTAGATCAGGATCTTCGTCGTTTGGGAGGGGGCCTGCCCAGGTGGGAGCGGTGGCGTGGGCGGAAAGGTAGCTCCACCATTTTCGAACACTATGGGTGGAGCATTGTCGCGTGCGAGGAGATGCTGAATGATCCTCGCGCACATGTCGAACTTCGTGGACTTGGCTGCCTCCCACTCCTCGAGAGTGCGGAACTTCGGCGTAGCCTCCCCCTTCGATACGGCATAGCCTACACCCATACGGTAATTCAGGTAGAAGTTTTCTGATCTTATCACCCTGGAACCATTTGCGCTTGAGGCTCTATCGGAATTGATGAGCAGGTGCAAAGGAAGGAGAGGGGATGGCTTACTTCTCCTTGGCCTCATCTGCGAGCTCCTCAATGCAGTCGAGCTCACGCGGCGTTAAGTCAAGCATCACAAAGTGGGTGTGGTAGGGAGGCAAATTGAGAAGGGTCCTCCCTTGCCAATCGAGGCTGTCTGCCGTACGGCGCAGTACTCGACCTTCGAACTGGGCCTGCATACGCTGAGCCGCGGCTACATGAGCCCTCCTAACGGGGTCCTCGTCGGAGTCATTGAGCGGGTCGTAGTCCTCGCCCGCCTCTTTCTTAGCCCGTCGAAAGTCCGCTAAGTCGTTCCTCTCTTCAATCTGGGCCGCCTTGTTAAAAAAATGCCCGATACCAGCAAGGCGAGCCATGTATGCCAGGTCCTGGGCGTGCCTTCAGAAACGTGTAGGCGAAAGGATGAGAAGCTTACCCCAGGTGTGGTCTGGAGAGGCGTCGCTGTGAGAATAAGGCGCAGGCAAGCTAGGGCTAGTATTGTAAGTGCGGAAGCATGCCTTTGACCAGAGTTGCGATAATTGTGGGCCTCGTCGAGAGTTATAGACAGATACAACCTCCCGAAGAGCGTTCTCACCACGTCCCTATCAAACGTGGGCAGTCTAGCTGGGTTATCCCAAGGTAGGGAAGAATCTGGGTCAGAATCGGAGGTGCTGGGCTTTTCATAGAAGTACAGGCTGTTGAAGTCTTGTTGTAGGCCCTGTAGGAAGGTGGGTCAGAAATGAAATGGAGCCATTAGTGCGGAGGCTTACTGAATGGGAGGCAATTATTATCTTATTGCTCTCCGGTTGGCGAGACGTTGAGAAGGGTGAATCTGGTGCCCAGAAGGCGTCGTGATCCGCCTTGCCAGCCTGGTATAGAAATATATCAAAAGCGCTGGGCTTGTAGACCTTTCGCAACTCAGTCTGCCACTGATCCATCAGGGTAGTGGGTACGATGACGAGGTGGGGGAGGTCGGGTAGATGATTCGAAGCCCCGAGATACGGCGCTGCCGCTATGAAATGGTAAGTACCTCCGTCAAGGATTCCTGAAGACACTTACTGAATAGCGGAGGTAGGGGTAGCTTGTGACTTTGAGCGAAGATGATTTGGCTCAAGACCGCGATGGCCATGGCGGCGAGGAAGGTCTTGCCGAGTCCTACCTCATCCGCAATCAGCATTCCAGGCCTGTCGGGAGAGGCTTCCGCCTTGAAGTTGGTGCGGAAGACGGAGTGAACGCCGGCAACCTGGTGCCAAAAGAGTTGGATGGGAACAGAAGAACCACCGCCTCCATCATCAGAGGGAAAGTGGGAGTTGAACGCGAGAGGACGGCCGTCCTTGAAGCCGAGGTTTCGATAGAGCTCCTCAGGGGTCATTTTTGCTTCAACTTCGACGCCGGGGTCGGAGTCTTCGACGCGGTTGGCAAAGGAGAAAGTGAGGGGGGGCTCCTTGCTGATCACGGAGTCCCCATTGTCAGTTTCTTGGACCAGACACTCATAATAGAAATTCTGCATCTCCTCAACGTCTTCCAGAGATGAGAGGGAGTCTTGATTGAGATCGACTGACTTCTTTGGGCCTAGCAGAAAATTCGTCAGCTATCACTAGCGGAATCGAAGCAAGCAAGCAAGTACCTGTCCTGGCCGCATTCAAGCGCACGGAGAGCGTCCGGAGCAGGGCGTTCAGCTCCTTATCCATGCTGTCAATGGTATGGAGATTTTCTTCATGGCTGAAGAGCTTCGCCAAACGCTTCCAGCGTCCGATGGTCGAAATAACTGATTTGACCTTGGGCTTTGTAGGACTTTCGCGATCCAACTCTGATGAACAGTGTGAGTATCGATGATTGATAAAGAACGGCAATAAACACGCACCCTGGAACGCTTTGGTTGCAGTCTTCTCGAGGTCCTCAAGGTTCCCTCGGTTCTTGCGAATTTGGGAGGCCGAGTTTATCCAGGTCCTTTGCATGAAAATTGTGATGGAGCTCCGATATTTGAAAGCCACACGACCGCTACGGTCCAGGCAGTCTTCGCCAAATAGAAGGAGGGCGACGGCATCGAGTGCGAGTGGGATGTAGCTGTCGCTGTTTGGTATCTGGTCCCCACCGAACTCCTGCGCGTGCTGAAGCAGGCAGGCAGGATGGAGGTTCATCGCCGTCAAGACCTCGGAAATCCTAGCGTGGATGCGCCATGCGCGCCAGTGCCTATTGATCCACTCCCGCCAAAGAACCCGCCCTGGAAGAGGAGCGCACTTACGCCCAGCTGCGAAAGCAATCTTCTCTTGCTCCTTCTTCTTTTCGGAATACTGGTTGAAGTAGGATAGGATGTCGTTGACGTTGGACCGGGTCCACCCGTTCGGCAGAAGCGCATCGTCTTCGGGGAAGAGCCCATGAGGAAGCCTTGTTAGCTCTCGCCAGACAGGCCAGTCCCAAGGAGCGCCGTCAAGAAAAAGCTTGATCATACCGCTAGGCACAGTATGGCTAGGCATAGTGGCGAATGCGAACGGTACAATTAGAGGGTAGAGGGAAGAAAGATGAGGGAAATTTGGAAAGCAGACGCAGTCTGATAAGGTGCCTTTGGAAAAGCAGAAGGGCCCACTTGTATTAGATACGGAGCTGAGGCGGCCGCCGTTGGACAGTTGGTGCTTGCATAATAGTCCATAAATGCCCTGATTCAAACAGGGAGGATTGAATAAGAGAGACAAGGGGAAGCCATGAAACAGGCCCTCACCGCCATGACGATCCAGGGTTGTCTCCTTGTGTCGAACATTGGCTGAGGAATGAAATAAAATGCACTGAGAGACGGATAAAAGGAGCCATAAGACGATCCTAGAGCGGAGTAACGCTTACTAGAGGTTATTTGCGCTTGGCCCAAAATGTTGCGAGAAAACTTAACGTTTCACGGAGAATATTGGTTCACTCCAAGAAGGCTCCAGCTCGCGCCAACACGAACTTAGTACAAACCGATTCACAAAACACCATTGATGGTGCAACGGCTGTGCCCCGTTTCTGGATGCTTGATAGTTGCGCTGGGTTCACCTTCGCCGTGGGGCGTCAATACTCGCAATTGGCTTAAATCAACGAAGATGCCGCACTTCCCACCAGCCGACGCTGGAGGAATACTTTTATGGAGAAGAATCCATAGGATGTACATTTTTTAAGCAAATGCCAGACCTGTATCGCAGACAATGGACATCCAGCACGGCCGCGGATGAAATTCTGCAGCGGTGGACGCTGACGATTGATATACTAGACTATCATCAGCGTCAACGCAATGAGGTCATCAAGCTTGAACTCATCAGCGATTTAGCGGTGGGTGGACGCTGATAGTGACCAATATGACGTGAACGCATCGTGATAGCTGCGTGTCAGGTTCATCCCTGGCCCGCCTTGGGGCTCAAGTAGGGCATTTGCGGTGCGCGAAAACGCGGCCATTTTGCGCGGAGACTTTTTGGAATATTCCATGTTGCAAACGACCTCTACTGCGCAAAAGCATTTCAATTTCAATACAATCAGAAACCAGGGGCAAGGAATGTAGCGGCTTACAGATGAAACAATGCGGAAGCAGACCACCGCCTCCAGGCAGGCGTTTCGCGCCCTAGACCCACAGGAATCTTTCCGGCTGAATAGCCGTGAAGGCGGGACTCTATACTCCCGTACTCCAAGAATGATGGACGCCGCTGTTGTAAAGGTCAAAGGGTTTAGCAGGGTGTCATGACATCCCTACGAACCGTGCTCTGCACCGACTTCAACGAGACAAGCCATATTCTTTGAACCTTCATTAGCCAAATACGGACATACTTTCCTTTTTTGACTCACCGAAGGGCTCCGAGTTGGTCGTTAGGGAGAAATAGCGGCAGGAACATGATTTCAAACATTCGAGACCAATGACAGTCTTGGAGCGTATTCGCGCTCCTGCACATGTCCAAACCTTATAGTACGCCACCAAACTGAACTGACTGCGTCTCTTTCCGAACCGTGTGCGTCCGGACTGCAAGCCATCTGGCTTACCCATTTTATATTTAAGGAGTTGAGGGTTAGAGAACGTCCCTAGCCTCCCAACGCACTAGACGTGTACACCCCCCCAATCCCACTTGCCTCTACAACTATGCCCGAAGACAACGAACCCGTTCCTCTCATCATCAAGTCCCACTCCTTGGAGAGCTTCTGCGTCTCCGCAAAGCGGCTCCTGGAGGCAAAAGACTACCATTCCTTTGTGAGATTCGTATTGTCTGGTGTACATGGTGGCCACCAGGCGTTTGTTGACCCTATTCTTAACCGGTTGAGCTTGGATCCCGAACATGAAATAACCGGCCTTAGGGACTATGACTCTCTCCTTGGGGTCGATGACGAGATCCAGGTTGATGACAGCATCACTATCCAAGTCCTGGGCCGGGTGGAGGACACGCTGCGCAAAAATGTCCACATCAATTTAGAGGTGTATGACGAGGAGACGGTAGGCCGTTCTCCAAACTATCACGGCATCTCATCGCTCACCTTGTTGTCTTCTCATTCCAGGGGCCCCAAGATGTTCCTGTCCACAAAATCCCCAACCTCGCTATCGGGAAATGGGACACCCACAACCTCATCCGCGTCGTCTTCCCTGCGCTATATGGCGGAGACCGCCTTGGCTCCCACCTCTCGCAGTTAGAACAGACCATCTTCTACGAGAAGGGCCTCCGACCAGCTGTCGTCGCCCTCATCGGCAACCGAGCTGCCGACTGGCCACCGACGTATGCAGACGAGATGTTTCGCGCCCGAGGGCACAACGGGCAGCTCAGCTTAGGGACCCGTGTTTTGCCTCGTTGGGAGGTTCCTTCTCTTGGTTCAGCCATACGGAGGGCGCTAAAGGACAACGGCGTCCTCTGGGGCGAGGGTATGAAGATCCTTCACCAAATCCGAGGTGTGAAGAACTCGAGTACTCACGGCATGAACTTGCCAGCCGCTGCTTATGCTCTCGATGACTGGCTCCGGCTCAACCATCTCAGGCCTGCGATCATGAATATGGAGAGCTCCAGTTGGTTTATAGATGTTGGCATTGAACTTACCTCGGAGCTAGGGGAGTGCCTTCTTCTGCGCACGGACGCACACACATCCCTGGTGCGTAAGGTGCTGGAGATCAACGAAAGCCACGCCAGCCGCATTACGAAGATGGGAAGCACCAAATATACCCGCGATACAACGTCCCACCTCTCAGCCCTTTCAGGATGTCGCATCACTCCTGGTGTCCGCGCGCAGGGGCGTTTCGAAGCCGTCTACCTCCAGATGTATCAGACGGACAAGATGCTAACCTCGCGCCCAGACCAAGGCCATTTTGGCAAGTTCTTGACAGCCAAAGACGCCCTCGCGGGAAAGTATGCCCCATTCATGGACAACCTCTACCATCTCTACAGCCGTGCAATGGTCGACAACTCCTCCAAAGTGCGTATCGAGGTTAGAGTGCCCTTGAAGTTCGCCACCGAGGTCCTCTTAAATCTCAGTATCAGCGACTTCCAGGCATCTTTCGTGTCATTCGGGCTTGTCACTTGGTGGTGAGATTCTACACTCCGTCCCTATATCTGCCCATTCATATCATCTCATAGGAGCCTGCGGGCATACAGGGTTACAGCACTGAAGTTTCTCCTTGAGTGGCAAGATGACGGAGAAGCCGAGCTCCGCGCAACGCACCCAGCCCTCCTGCTCACTGCCGCTGTTCCCTGGATTCTCAACGGTCTGCATTCCGCTCCTGATGACGGACCCTCATCGAGAGAGATCATGGACGCTGTCCTTCCGCTGAGCAACAGGGAAGGTCTTGACCCAAACATACTGGCCTATAACACGCGCACATCCATGCCTACTTTCAGAGAAGACAGCGAAGATGAGGGTGAAGTACTAGAGCTGATGGATGTGGATGAAGAGGATGAAGAGGATGTGCAAGAGGTAGAGGAGCGGGGACGCCTTCGCCAACGCCGTCGTGGAGCCCCTCTTTCGGAATTGACACCATGCATCCCGTACGGGCTGCTATTCCTTCGACCCCTCCGTGTTGGAGGCACAACGCCTGTCCCCCGCCTTTGCTGGTCCCGTGTCTTCATCTCCGAACATGCTTTCCGATTTATTTTCGGCGCCGACGAGGAAACCATCATCCACGCGATCCGCCGCTCTCGCATCGCTGCCTCACGCAACCCCAACCGGACTGAAAACAGGAAGAAGAAGACCCTGTCCTTCGTGAACCATGGTCAGGCTCCTGAAGGACCCATCTTCCACCTCGAGGCTGAAGGGTACAGCCTTCCTCCCGTCCCTCGCGATGAAGGCTCTGACATGGAGCTGGAAGAGGAAGACATGGCAGAGCCTCGAGTGGGCTTAGACGACTTTCTGACCAACCTCTGGAACCAGTTCTTACTGGACATCACTGAGGTCAGCCCGAATCCCAAACCCGCCGACCAACCCCCCTACTGCATCCTTTCGCCTGCCAAACGAAAGCTCGTTAACGCCGCCACGTATCAAGACCTTTGTCTCTCTAACTATTTCACTGACGTCCAGTGGAAGTACGCTGAGCCCTCTGACTGGGTCTTCACATTCGACCACCTCTTCCCACCAAAGAACGCCAAGGTCAAGACCGGTAAGATCCAGAACTACCTCCAGACCACCTACTACTCCAAATGGGAATCCATGAGGGCAAGGACCGACGCGGAGACGGTGAAGAAGATGCACAAGAACCTCTTCCTTCGGTTTTGCCAACTCTCTTGGTTCCCAGCAGCACAGGCAAACAGAATCTGGTGGACGAAAGTGGACCGGCGCTCGAGTAAATCCAGTGGCCTCTCCCCGAACAGCCCCGCCCCCCGCATTCTCCTCCATCCCGATGTTCAGGTCCCGACGTGGCAGTGGGATTAGGTCAGAGTATACTTCTTCCCCCCTTCTCCCTCTGCATCAACAGCCAACGCATCTCCAGCTCTATTCCTCCATCGCTTGGATACATGTACGCCATTTGTTCCTATGTACGCTCTCTCTGTCTCTGTGTATATACAAGATATTCAGTACAGGAGCCTTTGAAATACACGCCCTTACCATTTTGCCACTAAACCAGAGAAGCGAGCTTGACGGCTAAGAAAGAACGACGCGCTAAACACACGCCTGCAGACAATGACAAGAACAGCGGTCCCAGCGGCGGCGGAAGGGAGGGGGGAAGCAGCTAGTGCGGGTACAACCCACAATACCGCCGTTGTATATTGGATGGATGTGCGGGTACAACCCACAGAGCCCATATCGAAGTCTTGCGCGGTGCTGGTGGTTCCAGTTCAAGGTTGGAATGTTGGTCATTACGATCAAGCCGGCGCCCGGCTTGCACAGCCACTGTCCTCCGAACGAATTGTGCGTTGGAGAAATAAAACTCGAAGGGTTGGATGGGCAGAGGAGGAATGCATGAAAAGAGGAAACTCACCAAGCCAAGTCGACCCCTGAACGACGAAGCGTTAGGTCCGACGTTCGTACACCAGAAGCATCCGTAGTCAGATAAAACAACGAACTACAGGGTACAGATGAAGTCCACTCATAGTTCAGCGGTCAACGTTGGTTCACAGTTTCCCTCACTGACGAAACGGGGTGAAGGGCTAAACACAACGCAAGGCACTCGCGATCCTGTTCCCGAAAGTGCGATCCTGGATCGTCTCCTTTGTGGGTGCGAGGTAGAAGTATGGGGGGTAGAGCGGAGTGCAACTCACAAAACCCAACGAGATCATATTAGGTCTAGGGAAGATAGACGACTTGTGAATATTCGACAAAGAGGGCGATCTAAGAGCGGGCGCGTCAACACTTGCGTTGGGGAAGATCGCCTGCCACGCGGACGAGGTCGATTAAGGCGCAAACCGTCACAAGGCCTATGAGGAACAATGAATAGGCTAAAGAACAAAATATGTGTACTTGAGGGAACAGATAGACGAGAGCGAGACCAAGAAAGCAAATCAGAAAGCAACGAGCAACGAAAGCAGGTGTGAGATTTTAGCAATCTATACGGAACAAAAGAACAAAACTGAGAAGTGAAAATACGTAGCGAAGTCGTGGGACGTCAAGGACGTAGGTGACGAATTTTTCGTGAAGACTTCATGGCGATGGCGTTACAAGATAATGGTGAGATGGCGTTGGTAGTGGCGGTGGATGGATGCGAGATGATGGAGACGCTGAGATATAGGGT